CAAAACAGGTACGCATCCATCTCTTTTCCCTCCTCCGAAACCATAGTGAGAAAGACAGACCGCACAACACATCATATCAACCACCTACACTAGTTACTTGTTTCCATAATCGGCCCACACCAGTGCGATGCAAATGCGAAAACCGCGTGTCTAGACAAGGCACAGCACAACAATGTCAAAGGCGTCAAACATCTCGTAGTATTCTGCTCTACTTCTTCTTCTCCTCCTCCTCCTCCTCCTTCTCAGAACCCCACCCACTCGGCCCCGTGGTGACTCCCCGTGAGCGGAATGCGAGGGAGACGAGCAAAATGAAAAGAAGAGAGAGGAGAATCCCAACAAGGCTTGCATATGCCCAAACCCAAGTCCAAAAACTACATACACATGCAAACCGTACGCCAAACAAATTCCCAAGCAGGACAAGAAGAGGAAACAGGAAGCGGCCAGATTTTTCCCCCTTGAACAGAGGATAGCTAAGTATGGGTATCTCATGTGCTGGCCATGGTGTGGGGCGCAAGCATTACAAAGTGATAGAAATCCCTTTTTAAGTACGCAAACTATGACGGGGATATAAATTGGAAGGAAAAAAAAGAAATAGCAATAACCAAGGATATGCCCAATATGTACCCAATGCCGCAAAAACTGCAATCCTACCCAAGGCCAAAAGCGACCGCACTCGTGATATAGACAAGAGAAATGAGTTGTAAATACGTGAGAAAACAAATCCATCTACAGGAGGTTGTTGATGTTCATTCTCCGGTCGCGGGCGGCCTCTGTTCGAGGAGACGCCGGCGCACTCCTCGAGTGGCCAGCAATCCCTGGCGGAGGCAACTGCATCGAAGTGGGACTGGGTAGTGCCGGCGAGACTGGCTGTAGAGGAGGAAGGCTGAGAGTCTGATAGGCAGGCAAGGGCCGCTGATTCTCGAGGGGTGCTGGAGACCAAGGTGAAGCGAGGCGGCGGACAGGTGCAGAGGGGCGGTCAGTCGCAAAACTCGAACGGTCCATTCGACTGATGGGGGGTAGCTGCACAGACGACCGTCTCCTGTAAGGGTCGTAGTGTGCTGGATGCTGGGAAGGCGACAAGGCTGCACGGGGCGATCGAGTCTCGGAGCCCGTGTCGGTGATGAGTGAAGGTGCGTCCACGGAGGCGATGGAATAGCCAGGAGACGGCATAGGGGTCTCATACACCCGCGCCCGTGAAGAAGAAGTGAAAGGCTGCAGAGGAGCGAGTTGGAGGGGTGATGGTCTTGATCCCGGGAAAGCCTCGAGGCCGTGGGGGTGTGCGAGCTTCAGGGAGCGAGGAGAATCAGGAGGCAGGTTGAGTGACGGACGACGAGATTCGCCATATACCGAGGACTCGCCATAACCGCGGATAGGAGGTAGCGACTGAGTAGGGTGGGCCGGGTGTGGGTTGTGGTGCGGCGGAGCGGGGTAGGCGTGGAGAGGCTGCGGCTGCTCGAGTTGGTGATGGGAAGGCGACAGGTACGGATAGGGTTGATGTGAGTGCGATGGATGCGATGCGTGCGATGGTTGTTGCATGTGCCGCTGTGCCTGTCGCTCCGTGTTTCTTCGTCGCCTGTGCACACCTCCGTTCCACCAGTTCTTGACTGCGTTGTCGCTGCGGCCAGGCAATCTTCTTGCGATCTCGGCCCATTTCTTTCCAATCTCCAGGACTAGCTGCTCGATGATCTCGCCTTCTTCCTGAGTGATGGGGTTGTGGTTGAGGTTGGGTTTGAGGTTCTGATGGTAGCGCTCGCGACACTGCTTGGGCGTCCGGGAGCCGATCTCATTGGAGATGCGCACCCAGTTGTGAGGGCCTTTTCGCTGAACCAGGTCGATGAGAATGCGGTCTTCGTGCTGCGACCATGGGCCGCGGCGGTGGTTCACCATGGTGACCAAGATGGTGTGCGGTCTGTGAAGGACCGAAAAGAGCAGTGGGTAAAGGCTGTACAGCGGGCCACACTGGCTGACTGGTCCTGGTTCCAGAAAGATGGATTGAGGGATTTAGGGTAATGCTGCGAGCTCGTGTCAGCAACGGATAAGGCGGGTGGCAGTGAGGGGGATGTCCCGTCGGTCAATGGATAGGGCCGAAAACGACCGAGGAGCAAAGGAAAGCGTAGCGCAAATGATGGGATGGAGAGCAAGAGATAATGATGCGGCGACGAGGAGTGGGGAGAAGAGAGGGAAGGCGGGGTGATTTCTATATGCGGGAGCTGCGAGGGCACTAAAGGTGAGGGAGGAAGGACCTACAGTCGAGGAGGGTGTGGTGTGCTACTGGATGAGACGATGGGACGGCAGCAGATGGGCCCACGGACGGCAGCTGACACAACAGTGGTGAGTCTGAGCGACAATGGGCTTGGGTAAGACGGCGAGGACGACGATGGTGTTGTTGGCCGTGCTGGTGGTGCTGGTGGTGCTGGTCCTGGCTCGTGGCAGATGTGCGGCAGGCTGATGCGGGAGTAACAGGAGTAACAGTGAGCGGGAAGGAAGACGAGAGCGGAGGGGAGAGGGAGTGGGAGAGGGAGAGGGTGGTTTTGGGAAGGCGGGCTGCCAAGGCAGGCAGACTAGTCGGAGGGGATAGTGTAGAGGGAGAGTGATCCAAGGATGGGCGAGCGGGTGCAAGGTGGAGTAGTGTAGTGGCAGAAGTGGCAGATGAGCTCTAATAAAATGGAGCAAGTGGTAGTGCGATGGGGCCCGACTAAAAGTACACGACGTGCCCAAGCTAGAGCTAATGTACTAGACGAACTGCTTCTCACAGACACGGCCCTCGGAGCACTTGTTGTGCCCAAGTAGGGGCCCTGGTTTTTGTCGACGGCCGCACCGTGTTTCCAACCCTCAGATCTCGGGAAAGGGAAGGGAGCGAGTGCCCTCTGAGGCCCTGGTTGCGCATCGCGGCCGGGGGCGTGTTGCTCTGGGCCTCTGCCATCTGCCCATCTGGCACCGCCGTCTGGCCCTGGCCGACTGGGGACCTGGGGACCCTCGTCCACGGCCCATGACAATATTCATGGGTGAGAGTCGTGTTGGAGCAGAAAAATGAGGAGCGCTGCCCAGACTTGGGTCTTTGTGATCTTTTTCCCCTGCTCAGCAGTCAATACTAATGTGGGGAGATACTCTTCCTTCCTACATACGTATCGACTCCGTACTCGGTACTCCAACAAGGGCAACACAAGTTGTCGGTTTGCGTCTGCAGCATTTGCCAGCAAGCCACTCGCATGCGGTGCCGGCAGCCACGAGCCCTGCCCGGAATTCCCCATGGCGGCCACGGGCATGCAGACCGGAGGGTGCTGAAGAGAGGCCAGATGAGGGAGTCCTACCCAGGACGGAGAAGTCCTGCTCCCTATCGAGACTTGTTGCTCAACACAACCACCACCAGACGTGTGTGCGGCCCAGGGTCCTTTTCCCTTACCAGGCTCCCCCCGGCCGTTTGACTGCCCGCTAGCGATTCATGCCCGGGGGTCGCGCTCCTCTGCGCTGAGGACAAACGGGACCACTCCCAGAACCACTCCCTACCTGGACTCTACCACTGTCAAACTGCTTGCTCAGAAAAACCCCCACTGGATATCCCATCATCCATCGCCAACCCTCACCCACAACCCCCTTCCCTTTTCATCCCCCCTGCAGGCAAAACAAAACGGAGAAAAGAAAAACTACAAGTCTCAAAAACCTCTCATCTCACCATCAGCCAGCCTCGAACTGTCCATGATTCTCCAAAGCACACTCGCCCTGCCAGGGGTTTCCCCCCCTCGACTGGGAAAGAGACTTTATTGTCTGCATGAGGCTGGAGCCTCTCCTCTCTTGTGCACCACGTTGATTGTGTGTGTCTTCTTGCTGTGGTGCTCCACGACCGCCTCACCTTGGTGTCCCTGAGGTCTTGCGACGGGCCCTTGCCGCATGACGCCCACGAGGTCCAAGAATAGCACCGACATGTAGGTACATACGGAGTACGGAGTGGTGCACCCATGGCTGCGGGCTCCCTCACTCTCGCCATGCTTCTGTGTCCGCCCTCGTTTGCCTGTTGCACGCCGTCGCTACCACTGTTGGTGTTGTTGCACATGGCCACAGAGTGTCAAAGTGGCAGTCCTGCGCTCGCGTCCCGCACGCGGGCGATCAACGGGCGTTGCGGCGGCTTGATCATGACGGGGCGCACAGATGGTGATCGCCCTGGCTGTCGACAGGGGGCTGCTCTCGAAGTCGCCGACCTGAATCCTTGGACATGCGGATTATTGGGCGTGCCTTGTGCTCCTCCCTGGTCTGTGTCCATCTGCCGTGATGCGTTTTTTCCTGGCAGCAGCGGCAGCAGGAGCAGTGAAAGAAAGCAGGGTGAGCATTCGAGTAGGTACATAGTAAATCGTTGTCCTGACTTTGCGCGAAGGGGAGACGAGCAACCAGGCGGTTCGAGACCCCCTTAGCAGCCGTTGAGATGAAAAGAGGTTCCCCCTTGACTCGTAACCGATCGTCCGGACCGCTCAGAAATGGAGTGGGTGGCCGTGCAGCCCCTCTTCCCACTGTTTCGGGATGGGATGGGATGGGTCAAACTCTGTCGACACCGCCAATCAGAGGCTCTATTCCCATCCACATCGCAATCGCGCGTGCCGAGGCCTGTCAGCTTTTGGCCGCCCAACCCCCAAACAGGTCATCTCTGGCGAGAGAACCTGATGAACAGACGACCGACGAGAGCTGCCCGCTGGCTCGAAGCGTCACCGTTTGTTTGGCGCCGGTTCAGAGCCACAAACTCTCCCAGAGCTGGGAACAATACCCGCCAAGCCAAGCCCGGTGGCATCGGATATATATCAATAACAGGATCCCATCCTCTGCTTTGTCGTCTCCGGTCGCTCGCTGGACATGCCTCCGTAGACTCTGCGTGCACTCTATCTCACACCGGCCGTGGTCGTATTGTCCCGCAGTTGCGCAGCAAAAATAGAAATCCCCGTCTCACGGCAGAGCGCCGCTGGCCGTGCAAACCCTTCCCCCACGCGAGAGCCTGCAGTCGCGGAGAGAGCGCAATTCAGGCAAAATGCGAACCTGGTCGCGGACAATATCATCAGCCTCCTGCTGCTCCTCGCCGGCCTGGCTCCGTGGTCATTTGTATTCCCAGGGACTGGGCTCCTCATCAGCCTGCCTGTGGCGCAACCATCTGGGGTTCGACCGTCCATTCCGACGCGCTGGCCCTTCTCGCTTGTTTTGCCCGTTTCCAGCACACCCGGACCCAGTCGACTGGGGCAGCGTTGGACTCCGACCAAAGCGAGGAACGGCTCGCCGCCAGCAAGCCATCAAGCACGCACATGCAACCCGAGTCAGCGCCCTGCAACACCTGCGTCTCTGAACCCTTTGCACGGTAAGTAGACGTATCGACCGCTTGGGATACATTGCTCGAATGGGCGTCTCCTGCAGTACCGCCTCGTGGTCGTCCTCGAATTTCCCACAAAGGCCCCATTCCTCTTCGGGCCCGGACCAAACGTTGGCTTTGCTCCAAGAGAGCCAAATGAGGACTGAGCCCTTGGCGGGACCCCCTGAGCCTCTGCGGACACTACCGCTGGTAGCGCTGCCATAAAATAATCACCAACCCAGCAGTCTGTGCTGTTGCCGACACCTGGGCAGGGAAGTTCGCAATAGCTGCTGCGAAGGGGATAGCGTCTCGTGACCAAAATGGCTTCCGATGGGCAAGTCGCGGATCAGACACCGGGCGCTCCGTAACGGTCGTTCGTGAATTTCCACGGTCCAACAATTGCCAATAGTGGCAGAAGAGTCAGGCTGCAATAATAAGGAGAGACTTCTCGTATGTTTTGCACGTCGACCTCGCCTGTTCCAAGGTTTCGGCCGATGCAAAATCATGTCAGCGCGTGGGCGGCGTGGGCGAGTAGTAGGCAAGTGCAGTTGTGCAGCAATCCGAGAGCCACGACCTTGCGTGACACAAGTTCTTGTATTATTGCTGGAGTCGAACACATGGTGCGTGTTTGAGATGGGGTGTCAGCCGCAGGTATGGGGAGCACTTTCCTGTCCTTCGGGACAAACGGCGTTCCAGCGATCCAGAAGGTGGCTCATGCCATGGGCCATTCTGCTGTCTGAGCGATATGATTTTATTAGCACGGGCAGGTTTTTAATGCCTGGGGTACCAGCACCCAATCACCTTTACACCCGAGGTCATCGTTTGAATCGTTTCATCGTTCTCGTCATCTCACCATATCATCAGCGCCCTGCACTTTTGCGGGTTGCTGAGCATTGCTCCATTGCACGGCATGGAAGTCGGCTAGAATCTGTGGACTCGCATTCGCTGTTTGGACTGTGCTGGATGGTACGACCATCGGATTCCATGCTCTTGTCTCATGCCTCGAGCACTGCTCGTCTCTCGAAATAGATGCGGCTCAAACTTCGATATACTGCCAACGGACCGTGATGGGAATCTGTTTGGGGTGAAGTTTTGGGTGAAGTTTTGGGTGGGTACGCCTGGGTTCCGTCATGCCAAGCCGCTGACAAAGGCAACAATCGCTTCTGGTTGGCCCATCACAAATCATACAGGGCAGGTGCACTCCCAACGATTATCTCCAACAAGCTTATTTTGACCTCCACTACTCCGCAACCAGGTCCAACTTTTCTTGTTGAACCACGTCCCAGAAAGCAACTCACGATTAACAGGGCAATGAGAATACCCGTAGCAGCTCCCATCCATCCCACATTGGACCGACGGCTGACCGCGTTAGTGCAACGAACCGTCGTGAAATCGGCGACCTTGAAGCGCACGAGTTACCAAAATACAGGAAACTGCTGTGTTGCCTTGGCTTCAGGGCTGAGTGATACGGAGCACGGCTGTGTGAAGTCCATTCTTCCCGCCCATCGGGCACCTTCGGCGTGGAGGGCTACCTACCGCCCATCATCCGCTTTGCAATAATGAGATGCAGAGATTATTCAATCAATTCTGAAAAATCCGCTAGGACGAGAGTGAGCGAGCGAGGATTCAGTTGCCGTCCATCTCCATCCCCACCAACTCACTCCTCCTGCTTCCCGCTGCGCTGCTATGGCCGGTGCCGACATTCGGGGCTTGCAATACCGTCCTCTTACCCAGTGCTGAGGTTCAACAAAGCGGGGCCGTTAGCAATGCAGACCAATATTATGTCCTTTTGCTGCAACTGCAAACAGCACTGCTGGGAGGAGGAGAGGGAGCTCTCGACGTGGGGGGGTCCCTGACTGTGATCGACGCGATCAGAGATTAACGAGCAGGGCCAGTGCGACAATCCGATGCACAACCAATGACGTCCCCCCTTTACCACGACTTCTTCACACCCATCCTGCTGTTCTTGGTGTTCATCACCCTGCACAACTCCTTTTCGTCAAGCTCGCCGTCTACAGGAGGATCGGGACCGCTCTGCTTTTAATTGGAGTGGACGGAGACTCCAGCTGAGGGGATGCAACAGTTCTGGAAAGATGCCACACGCTGTTTGCTCATGTTTCACTGTTTTGCTAACGTTTGGAAGCGCACCGTTGATGGATAGCGTGGCAAAGGCACCGGCCCGCTCAACGAGACGGTTCCAAGGTTGACCAGCAGCGCCGTGCCTGACGGTTTCGCCTTGTCTCATCAGTTTTCAGGGCCTGGATGCTGTTTGGCTCGCTCTGCTACCTCCACCGTAGCTCCCTTTCCCTCTGGGCCGCATGAGATGCAGCAATGCAGCCGTTACGATCGGGAGGACGCCGAATCGGGTGCCTGAGACCCACACCACAACGGGTTTCCAACGCGCAATCACACTCTTCGTTCGTACCCATCTCGCTCGACGCTCGCCCTTTCTTGTCGAGGTTGAGGCAGCCCCAGCGTCTCGAAGCTGTCTTTGCGCCTGCAGCAGTGCGGCAAGCAGCAAGCACATCAGATTCATCCAGCATTGTGATAGCCAACGACTCCCAGTCTGCAGTCTGCCATTTGCCAGTTCCCGATTGGGAAAGCGCTGCTGGGACTTGGCGCTTTTTTCCTCATCCTGGTCAAAACGCCTTTCCATTTATGGCGCTACTGCCAAGGAGACCCGTTGACGATCCCTTCCTCCGTTGCCCTGCTTCCACCTCGCCGAAGTCACCACATTAGCTTCCAATGTTGACGACGGATTGGGCCAAGGGGCGCCATGTGCATTATTGCTGACGACGCATCAACAGGCCGAGTTGACGTTTCCAAGCAAGAAACCCACATCTCCGCGTCGCTCCCTGTGCACACCATTGACCACCAGCATCGTCAGAGTGGCATCCACCCGTCGTGCTCCTCACGTTCTGGAAGTCAACACGGAACCCGCGGGAAGAGCTTTGTCTCGATGGGTGACGGTTCGCGAACTACCCGAATTTTTGAGGAAGCTCTTCAAAACGCCTCTCTGGACTTGAAGTGTGGTCGTCCTGCTCCGTCAGCACCACTGTCGATCCAAGCCACTCACTGTCCATACTGTTTAGGCCTTACGGAACATTGCCAGCATTGAGATCTAGCAGGCGGCTGTTCAGTGCCCATCGCTGGATTTACTGTTCCCCTCACCACCTGCCCGTTCCCGGGTCGCAGCGAATCGCCCTGATACGAAGACAACCCTTCCACCTTGAATGGTTCCCATCCCTGGTTATGCAAGTGATGGAAGCGGGCACGACAGGCTGACAAGTGTGCGCTGGCAGACTCAGTTCAAAGAACAGTAAGCGACTTCAGCCAGCGGTTGAGAGGGGGGATAATCATGCATCGTGAAGCGCTCAACGCCTGATATCTCCGCTTCAGCGTTCTCTCGTATCGCTTGCTTTGAAATCAACACCATTGGTCAAGTGCTCCAGTGGTCCTTCTCAGGGTTGCGTCCACATGAGGTGATTGCTTCAGCAACGGGACTGCTCTCGGCCCCAGCCAGCTTGACGAGGCCAGGAAACAGTTTGCCCGATCCCAGGGTCACTGCACTCGCAACAGGCTCTCCTGAATCCAGGTGGGCTCGCGGAGCTGCAGGCTTTGTTGCATGCTGGGTTCTATACAGTTATGGAAACGGAATGCCTTGCTACGTTCAATAACGAGTCGCACGCTGGGAGCACTCGACTCCGAACTTTCTTTCTCCGTGATATTCAGCCCTCACAGTTTGCATTTGTTCGCAAAATCAGTTGCAACCAGTATTTTCACCTCCCAGGAGCTGATACCGGCAAGCTGCCACTATTCCGTCCGTCGCCGTTTACGAAAGTGCTTCAACATATAGATAGTCTACACCTGACTAGCTACAGCCACATCGAAGACAAGTGCAGCTCGCGAAGACTGTATTCTCGTTCTGCACGAAAGAATGTTCAATGCGGCATGTGAATATCAAAAGACTACAGCTCAAACTTGAGACTGCCACTGTCAAGCAGGTGGCTGCTATACAAAATGCTCTCCTTTCTCTCGCGATTCCCACAACCCTATGATAAGGGCCCTGCTGACAGTGAATAGCCTTTCCACAATGCTTTCGAGCTCCCACTCCGCCGGTTGACCAATGCTGCGTTCCCACTAGGGTCCCCCTATGCCAGCGAAGCTTCGTCATCATGTGTGTCTATTATTGTCTTCACTATCAAATCAAATTCCGGTCGCCCTCTCATGTCACGAAACCGTGCAGCCGGGTAACCCATCAAGGTGCGATGACAACTCCGAGATTGTGGGAATGTAGCCACACCTCCGTCAGGCCATGCGGAGACTGCAGTCCGGCCAGACGATACTTGATGGCAAGGACGTTGGAGACATGCACACCTGCATAGCTTCGTGCCTCGATGCTCAGGCCAGCCGTTCTTCCATGGTCCATGCTACCGGTGCCACAACGTCAAAAATAGCCCCTGGATGGTGTTGCGTCCGGATCGCCTTCCATGTCTATAGGATACTGCGGGCTTGCCCTTAGGACTAGGCCATACCGTAGGAACCAAGGTCAGGACCAACAGTTCGTTTGCCGTGGCTCCGCTAAACGATTGCTATTTAAGGGCGTGGTTTCAGCTCTGCACTATGGCGACGGGGAATTACAAATCGTTGGGAACTCGAGTCTTAAGACGCTGGCGGACGTTAGTGCAGGCAGACTGATGAACTGAATTCCAACAAAGGCGGTGCAGTTATTTCCGTAATTCATGCAACTATTCGCTTCGTTCTACATACGGCAATGCCTACAACTACGCGAGCCCAAGCCCTGGTTCGCTGCCCCCGCGTCAGCCGTTTCATAAGGACGGCTGGTCTAGTTCATATTAATGGTCTTTAATGTGAACATCTAAGTCTACTTTCGCCTAGATTTGTCTTTTCAACTCTGAGTGGACACAGGGGCACAGACTTGTCTCTCACACATCACCACGCTACAGCGCTTGCCAAGGTGTCAAAGTCCAGCACCTTTGCAATGCTGGTGCAGAGCGGAAATCTGCTCCCTATCACGTTCGATTACCACCATCTCGCGGCCGTGGGGAGATGCAGAGGAGGTAGAATGGGGTTTGATGTTTCGGATCGCGTTCCCGGCTTTGCTCACTCAATGCTGATTCCTCAGAGGCTTGTCTTGTCTAATACTTTGGTGAAGTTCTAGGTGGCAGTCAGCTGCGAGACGGACGCATCACGTCCAACGACTTCAGTCCACCTGTCAGCCGCTCGTCCCCTGTCTCGGCGGCAGCATCTTCCTGCAACTAACAGTAACAACCAGCAACCAGCAACCAGCTTCCTACCTACATAGCTTCCACCGAGCCTCAGGACTCCGAGCCCTCACCCCTACTGCCGGGCCTGGTCCCTGAATCTGGCCCTCCATGTCTGCATCGCCGGCGGCCAAACAAGAGCCTCAAGCTCGACTGTGTTAAGCCGTCTCGCGCGACAACGTATTAACACAAGCACTCTGGGATAGTGCAGTACCAATCATACGCGCGTACCGCACGTCTACATACTTCCATACAATCACATATCCAGCGCAGCCTTGCGGCGATTGCGTTATCAAGCTCTCTAGACTGCAGCAACTTCGCAGAATCAGTACAATACGCCTCAAAAGCGAGTGTATCCTGCACACATGCCTTCGTGATGGCGTTATGGGTCCGCCTAGTCGCCAATATAGCAATCCATCCGACTTTCACTCCTCTTACCATCCACCGCACTTTCCCGCTTTCGCCGCGGATCAAAAGAGCACGAGAACAGGCGGACCGGCCGGGCGAGGGAGTGCTACTGGAGTGGAGGAAAAAAAAGGGTAATCAATCAGCACAATTGCTAATAACCTACTGCTACGTACATACAGTGCATGCCTACTTATCTGAATCTAAATATAGGTGCCGCAGAGATGCAGGTTTCCGAGGGTGTAAGACGGATCCGGATGCAGGCGCAGGCGCAGAACGTCGTACCTTGCACAAGGTAGGCGAGGCGCACGTGGGAATGGGAGATGCTGCTAGGTGCTGGGTGCGCAGGCCAGTAGTGAGGCACGCGTGTATGGAGGACGCTTTTTGTTGGGCGACAAGGTGGTGATAATGGTAGTGGTGATGTTGAGGGTGTGGGAGGGTAAGAGAAAAAGATCGATCCGTGAGGCGGGGCACTAGTTGCTATCCTGAGCATAAGAATAGGGCGTGAGATATGAAAATAGGTCTCCTTGCCGGAATGAATGCCGGTAGCGAGGAGCGGGAGTTGTAATACACGTCTGCCCTACCTAGGTTTGCCCTATGCATGACGGCCTCTCTTATTCCTACCTATGTAGGGTACCTGCAACTACTAACCACCACGGACGTATCCGACACAACATTCGACGCCCACACCCTAGGTATACAGTAATCTCCACGCATATCCATTTCCATCTACAAACAGAGAGAAATTACTACCTTCATCCTGATGTACGCACACCCATCTATCTGCACAGGTACCCACGCCACGGTTTCCGCCCCATTCATTCATCTATCGTCTATTCTATCGGAGTACCTGGTTCTCCCGTTCCAGCGCTTCCCATCCTATCAACCTTCCAAGCCTTAAGCTCGCTTTGGTTCCCCCCCTGGCTTTCAGCTGCTACTGCTGTCTCCCGACAACCCGACCCAACCCCCTCGCAGCGTCATTTTTTGGATTCTTCAGTTCGGTGCAGAGGGCAGTGTGATTCGATTTCGATTCCTCGCCGAGGAAAATGAGAGGTGGGGGGCAGTTGAGGGGAGTTTTTGGGGGAGATTGATGAGTATGCATGCTCCGTCGTTCTTTTATGTACCCTAGGGTACCTACCTAAGCTGCGGATGGCGAGCCGAGGGAGGGCGGGTTGTTGATGTAAGGGGATATCTACATGGTTGTACGCGCTTGCTATGGGCGCGGGAGATGATTGAGGGAGGTGAGATGGGTGCCGTAGAGAGCTGGGGAGAGCTGTAGTGAGCTGTGCAGAATCAGGTCTTCGGCATTCTTTCCTCAGGGAAGGAGGTGTCGATGAGGCCATCTGAAGAGCTGGACCTTGTGCGGTACAGACTCAAGAGTGAGGTTAGGAAATCCAAGGAGGACGGGTTCGGCGCTTCCGTTGCAGAGCTAAACCTGGGGGTGTGAAGCTGCTCCGTAGGCGCCGGCTTCTGGTTTGACGAGGGAAGCTGGCGGTAGGGAGGGAGGGACTGAGTAAGTGAGTGAGTGTTGTGGAGAGCTGGACCTTGGACGTTCCCCCATGAGGGATGTGCTCAATGGTACATAGGAGGCTGGGACGGAGGGCATGCAAGTCGTTCCCATCGCTTCCCGTCCGCATCGCATCTGCCAGTTCGCTCGTGGGCCATGTCAAGAGGCCAGCCAGTTAGTGGCAGACACATAGGCTTCCACGGCTTTGTCAAAGGGTACTGCGTGGTTCGGTGATGCCGTGCCGTGCCGTGCCGTGCTGTGGGCGACGGCTACTGGATGCGGATTCCTTGCTTACCGTGTAGTATGCATCACATTCACTGGCTCGTTGTCAGCTATTTTTTCTCCCGTTGAACGCAGGTGGGAGCTGAGTGGATTTGATTTAGCTGCAAGCGAGGAGCCGGAATGGGGATGTGGATGGGTTGATGGGTTCCGGGGGTAGATGGAATACAGGGGCGGTGGTCTTGGTTGAGTCGACCGCCGGATTGGGATGGAACGGAGATAGGGACGGGGACAGGGATGGAGACGGAGGCCTCGGGAGCAGTGCGATTGATGTGGTCTTTTTAGGACTGCGCACTAAGGCATACCGTATGGTAGCAATTAGCGAATGGCGGAAGGGTCAGGGGGAAATGGCAAGCGGCAAGGGGTAAGGGAGGCTTGACGGTGTTGAGCTGGACGTATGCGCGGTTGGGAGGAAAGGGAAAGGAGGTGAAGGGTAGGTAGCAAGCCCAAGGGCGGGTTCACTGAGCGCTCAGATTAGTCGGAAAGGGTTAAAGGCCGTGGAAGGTTACAACCACGCTGGTAGAGACAAATAGCTTGGGTGGGAGCGAGCTAAGCAGTTTTTGCGCGTTCTAGCGGACGCTGGTGCAGGCAGACTGATGAACTGAATTCCGAAAAAGGCGGTGCAGTTATATCCATGAAACGCATGACCACTCAGTGGCAGAACCAAGGGAGTTCCTCCGATCTGCATACAGGGTGAAAATAGCCAGCTGTACAGGCGGCAAATATCAAGGGCTTTCGCATCCTTGTTGTCGCCTCGACGATGAAGAGTATCTCACAGTATAAAATCATCACCGTGGTTCTCTTACTGCCCTCTCATGTGTATTGATCTCATTTTCACGACTCGTCAAATTCCTCATCAGACTCGGCAACTTGGCACGCCAAACCATTGCGAGTACACAACTCCACAGGTTCTTCCGTCATTGTCCAGATCGTGTCATCTTCATCCCATTCGTTCTCCTTGTTAAGACGCCAGAGAATCCCGATGCGTTGTAAACGCGGCGTCGCCTCTCGCCATCGCTCATTGTCGACAAACTCTCGAAGCTTACACATCACCTCCGATGGATGCCAGTGGTAGAAACTCGTGGGCCTCCCATCAGGGGTGTCAGAGGGCTCGACGCAGTCTCCTCTGATTCGAAGAGACACGATACCGTAGGGTAGAACGTCGGCTAGACGTGGAGATCCACGAGGTTGCATACCTAGGAGAACCTCCGGTACGACATCAACTGTAGTCAAAGCTGGCATATCTTTCAGTGAGCAATGGCCCACTACGTCGAGAGTGTGGAAACCATAGTTCTCCTGTATAAGTGTTGACTCTGCACTCCAGGATTTAAGCGTGACCTTGAGCGCTACTAGTGTCCTTTTGACCAATTTCAAGGCAGACGCCAGACGGCTAGCATGCAAGGCGATCCAACTGAAGCAGACACAGTCATACTCCAGACTGACAAGGTTGGGCGTAACCATCAAAACCTGTTCTACGAGGTCATGGCTAGCATGAGCCTTGAGTAACCGAAGTGTTCGAATACTATCAGCTCGTGGTGGCCAGGAAAGAGGCCAAAGCGACCGTGGACTTCCACGCGTGATCGCGGAGTCCCCAAAGTAGCCACGATAGTAGTCCTGACCACCAGGAAGGTTCATTTCCACTTCTTTCAGATTGGGAAGATAGAAGAAAGGCAGGTATAATGGTAGATCTAGGTCCCATTCCAGGTCTTCAAGTGCACTTCTGTCTTCGGGAAACCGGTCCCAGTCGTAATCGACACCGAGGGTCAGGCGTTCACGTGATGATAGGTCGGACAATGCACTGTCGAGAGGAAGAGTGAGTGCGGACATCAGCACGTAAGGAAGACAATCGTTTCGATGTATCATGTCCAGACCGAGAGTAAGAGACGAGAGTTTCGGGGTGGCCAAGATGGTCAAGCCAACGACCACATGCAAATCGCACCGTTCGATATCATCATCCAGAAACTTCGGAATGGGTGATCCCGTCCGACGAAATGCATTCTTAAACAGTTCACTATTCGACGGTATATACGAAGGCAGGTATGGAAGACGACCATCCAACTCATAGGACCAGTATCCAGAAGACTGCAGGTCTAACGTACGGACCAGTTCAGCCAGTGCCTGGTTCTCCAACAAAGTGCGAAGCAGAAGATCTAATCGAGGGCAGGACTCATGTTTGCAGTCGGACCGTGGTCGATTCTCTGAGGGTTGTCTGCTTCCTCTCCAGATCATACGGATATCGCGGTAGACTGTTGGGAGTGTAGCAGCTCTAACCTGCTGGCAGGAGCTGGAGAAGCAGGATAGGTCTCTTGGCTCCAGGTTGGAGGTGATACCATCCAGTATTTCTTGCGGCAACCGAAGGAGGCTTGAGCTTTGGGCCATTGTCCACCACCTTCGCCACCTCGATATAGTAGGAATTTGTTGATTTAGCCGCGCTCGACCTGCTCTTGAACATGGAGATACCTACCGGGTGTCAAGTTACAGTTATCGAGGCTATGTGGGGGAAAGGATAGATGCGGAGTGTGTCGCTATTTTGGACGCTTTTACACTCCGCGCCTTGGGTGGGATATTTTTCACTCTGTGTCGGCAGGTGAGCAGGAATGTGAGGACAGGTATTTGGGAGTCCCTGTGAAGTTATTACGCTAGCCTCTTCTAGCCTAGCGTCTATATCATTCTAACAGTACTCGGCCCACATGCTAACTAAAGGTTGGCACTACTTAGCTTAACACTAACACGCAGCTTAATACTAATTTAGTATACGTTTTTAACTTTAAGATAAAATAACTCTACTACTACGTAATAGCTTATTATAGTTCTCACGTAGAAATTAAAGAGCATATTTAACTTGCTATCTCTATATTTATTAATTATAGACCTTTAGGTGCATTAAGCGCATCTAAAAACACATAGATAGCCTTAGATTCTTGTCAGATTTGATGGTATCTGAAGATGTCACGGTGACAGAAAGATTGATTGAAGATGGATTGACTGATTGTATTCAGGTGTGTCCTTGTGTGTGTGAGGCTGGGGCCTGACACTGGTTTTGATGTTCCTTCTCTAGGCACCAAGGCTGCGCAGGGCACTAGCCACTGCAGAATCACTAGCCATATATCCTCAGACAGTACTGGTACAGACACCTTCTCCCAGTCCTCCTCTCCAGTCCCAGATGGGATATCCATAAACTGGCTTACCATCTGACAATTCTATAGAAATACGCGTGTTTTAAGCAGCTCTTATAGAAACTTAGTGTTAAGCTGCGTGTTGGCGTTAAGCTGAGTAGTGCCAACCTTTGGTTGGCATGTGGGGCGAGTACTTTGGAGAGTGATTTCTTGACTCTCTGTGTCCTAGTCGAGTTTTAATCACTTGCCTTCGACTCTCTCTCGGGCTAGTCTCTGACTACTATGTATGTACTAGCTTGTGTTCGACCCGTAGCTAGCTCTCTCCTTAGGCGTTGCTCGCTTCTTCTAACAAGTGTGTCTATTAAGCGACAGCTAGGACATTCCAATCAACCGTCCAAGCTAAAGTAAACGTTATAGCAATCTTCAACCTTCATTCATACCCACTGTTCCTGTTTGATGTAGCTGCCACCTTCTGACCCGCATACGACTTCTCTCACTCCGAAGTTACCGTATTCGCCCCCCACTACTCAGGCTATATGTACAAAGCGTTGGCTTCGAATTCACGTCCTTGTATCTTTTCTCGACCAGAAGCTTGTCTCTCTATATGGCCCCCTCGACCTCAACTCCAAATCACGCGCACTCAATCTTGGAAGTATCTGTGGAGACTTTCCCATGTATCTTACAAGCAATTCACACAACCCCCGCGCCCGAACTATCCCTAAACGGGCCGCTTCAACCTCGGTACCTAGGTGACCCCGCTGGCGACGATGCTTCAACTCCAACATCATGGCCAATTGCGTCGAAATGGCCTTTCCCATCCTTTCAACATCTATTTCACATTATCTAGCATCCTCCTTCTTCCCAGAATAAAGAATCGAGTTCTCTCTTGGTACAATCGTCGCATAACCCTAGCAATCACCAACAATGCCATCCGCAATCGCCATCAAACAAATCCACGGCAAACCAGGCCAAGTCTACTATCCCCTCGAAAAGATCACAATTCCTACTCCCCAGCCCAAGGAGAACCAGGTCCGTAGCTCCCGAATTCCCTTCTCCCCTATCCTCCTGGGAAAATCAACCTTGAAACCCTCCATTAACGGATACCCCAGCTCGTCATCTCCCTCACCGCCGCCGCCCTCAACCACCGCGACCTCTTCATCCGCCAACACCTCTACCCAGGCACCGCCTTCGGCATCCCCCTCCTCGCCGACGGCGTCGGCATCGTCACCGCGACTGGCTCCTCCTTCAGCGCGCAACAATGGCTCGGCAAGCGCGTCGTCATCAACCCGGGGACAGGCTGGAAAGACTCCCCCGAAGGCCCCGAGAGTCCGACAGGGTACAAGATCCTCGGGGGCACGAAGATGAATCCGTCGGGCACGCTAGCCGAAGTCATCGTGACGGAGGCGAGCGAGGTCGAGGAGGCGCCGGCGCATCTGAGCGATGTGGAGGCTGCGGCGTTCCCGCTGGCGGGGCTCACGGCGTGGAGGGCGCTGTTCGTCAAGAGTGGGAATGCGGTGGCGGGGAGGAATGTTTTGGTCACGGGGATTGGGGGTGGGGTCGCGCTGTTTGTGTTGCAGTTTGCCGTCGCGCAGGGGTGTAATGTTTATGTGACGAGTGGGAGTGAGGAGAAGTTGCGGAGGGCGGTCGAGTTGGGGGCGAAGGGAGGCGTGAATTATAGGGAGCAGGGGTGGGAGAAGAAGTTACAGGCGCTGTTGCCGAAGGAGAGGCCGTATTTGGATGCGATTGTGGATGGAGCTGGTGGGGATGTTGTGTCTAAGGGTGTGAAGTTGTTGAAGGTATACGGCTACCCTTTACCACCCCTTTGGTCCCAGCACGGAGGTGCTAACGGAGTTTTCAGGCTGGCGGCGTCATCTCCATCTACGGCATGACCATCAGCCCCAAGATGGACTTCCTCATGAGCGCCGTCCTGCGCAACATCGAAGTCCGCGGCTCGACTATGGGCTCGCGGAAAGAGTTCGCCGACATGACCAACTTCATCAGGGAGAAGAAGATTAAGCCTATTGTCTCGCGCGTCGTGCACGGCTTGGAAGTGGACGTCGTAGATCCTCTGTTTGACGATATGAAGAACGCGAGCCAGTTCGGCAAGCTGGTCGTTACGATCGGTAAGAGTGATGCATCGAGCAAGCTGTGAATATCCGTGTATATTATAAATAGAATGAAGAAGATCTCCTCTCAGAGGATAAATGAATAGAGGACATCGTATAACCACACCTATGGAACTAAGTACTTGAGAATATTACCAGTGACTGTGAAGACTCCTCAGTGATCGGCGCGCACCTGTGTATCGAGGAGAGCCATAACCTGTACGCACACGGAATAAGTGAGTGGCACAATCACCCTTTCCGGGTAGCACAGCAGCTTAAGAAGAAATGACTTAGGACTAATTCATATTTTCAAATGTCCCACAGAGTCACGGGCCCAAGCGAGATCGATCCGGGAGCACACATATGGACAGCATGACTACATCCCTCTTGGGTACACCATTGTTACAGTAAATCTAGTACTCCGTTTTTTCAAGTTAAACACTTCTACAAACTGCCAAAGCACGAAGTCCTAATGTAGAGTATACCTGTCCCTATATCTGTATCTGCAAACATTGGTAAAAGCTTAAAGAGAAAAGTATAGATATTAAGGGACCGTCGTGGGGATAATTAACAGAGGCACGAGGCATCCACTATAGCAACAGAAAAGGTAACTCTGTGCTAGCGAAGATCGCAAGGTAGATTCCTACTCTACAATATTAGGGACGTAGATAAGGCGCTTGCAACGACGCGTCTTCTAAAACCGTGTACGACACTGCAGCCTTAGAGGTGTGCATTTGTAAATCCTCAAGGTATTAGCGGACAGAGAGTAGCTTTAAACGTCGGCCCAACGCTTTTCGTATTACTAAGATAAATTCCTACATTAAGGGGTCTATCTTATTTATAACAGTGTTGTAACGCAATTCCAATGCCCTCAGCCTGTTCTCTAATACGGAATCACCTTGGCCTGAGGTTCCCTTAAAGGATCCACCCTAAGCTTTCCTTGGTTTGGGTAACGGGGGAATCATTAGCGATGACGGAGTGCTCTAAAAGAATTACTTCTTCGCCTCCTTATGTGCTGTAACCTTGATTGCTAGAACGTATAACTATAGAATCAGTTAGTGTAGCTTACTCGACCCCTCTACATTGGATATTTCGAGTTAGCAATCTAGAGCGGTCAGCATCTACATAGTGTAGTGGACCTTGAGTCGACCTATGCGATAAGGAGGGAAAGGATTGAACATATAGTTCGAATTAGGAGCGAAAGGCGGAATCTGTAAACGTCCTGGCCAAGAGAAAACAACCAGTCTGAAAGAGCTGCTATGTTGGAATTGGCGCAGGTCCGCGCTCTCAATGCCGCCGCCACGATGCACGACATGCCGCTGACAAGACGAATGAGTACAAGCGCATTGCGGAGAACCCTGAAGCCGCTGAAAGAATCTGGGGAAATCGATAAGTTGTGGGGACTGCTGAGCGCAGGGCTAGATGGTGAACATGCTGCTCCGCGACCTGTGCTACAACGATAGCCTGGCTGGGGGAGGGTGACGACGAGTACGCCACTTGCGTACGCATGCCAATCTGCTGGGGGAGGAGAAGTGAGAAATTTGTGTACTCAAAGCAGAGATTTTATGCCAGAAGATCTGCCCGTTATGCATTGGCCAACGACGAAGCCGATTGTATGTACAGACAAGGCTGGAGTAAAGTTGTGATCAGAGGAGTCACCTGAATGGTTGGACTGGACAGATCGCGCTAGCCCATATTAGTCCCGCTCCATGCATCATCAGCTCTCGAGGCCAGCACTGCTCTTTCACCGCAGCGCTCACCGCAAATTCTGAGGTTGAGATGCACTGCACAGTAAGCGCGCAAGCCGGCGGATATCGCAGAGCAAATGGGCAGAGGGCCTGATGGTTACGCCGAGGCAGAGCGGCCGCAGCACCTGGCCTGGCGTGGGCTTCATGATTACTGTGTATTGAGGTCTTCGGCAGAAGTGCCCGATAGGTGGCAATACCTAATCGTCTTTGGATGGATGTCTCGTTCGCAGGCCGGTTCCCGTAGATGAACTTCGGCCAGGGCGGGTGGAAGAAAAGGTACTCTGCGGTCAGGTTCTGGAGCCATTCTATGTACCTGCACAGTAGGTACTATGCGGATCGGCTTCTCAGTGCAGGGGTGATAGCCAATAGGACATTCTATGGGGTAGCGGCGTGGCAAGTCGAGAAGGCGGATTGGCTGGATGTGAATGTGAAACGCTTACGCTCACTGCTGGGGGCGTACTGTGTATTGCTCTGCCATCGATGATACTTTTGACCGTGATGGGGATTTGGGCACCGTTCCAAGACCTGGGAGGTACTGACTCTCTAGAGAAATCGCATATGCTGAGAAGATCCGCCGTCCTGCAATCCGCATGATGGCCATCTCTCCGCAAAAGATCCGAATTCTAAGCCGTAACCAGATGCCCTGGGAGAAGCCAACAGTACATAGTGCAACGACTGGGGGAGGAGAAAGAGGCGCCGAAGCGGTCAGCATGTGTCTGTCCTATGAACGTCAGTCGCCACAAATAGATGAGCAAGGGCCGCAAGTCCAGCGGCGAGAAGCGTTTCCACGGCGGCCGAAAGATTTTTCAGGAAGCTTAGTCTCTCCAGCTGTGTGTACAGCATGGAAAACTGGATTGATGCGGCGAGTGGCAAACAATACAGTAGACAGAGCATGGCAAAGTGGGTGGTGATGGATGGAGGGGCGGACGGCTTCGGCGGGGCTTGGCTGCCGGTCGTCCCTTATTCCCTTATCGACACCACCCCTGTCGCACCAGCGCCGCCGCACCAAAAAAAATTTCGAGCGAGAGGCCATTTAAATCTCCCCTCCAGCCCACCCCTCTTCCCCTCTCACCTCCTCTCACCTCCCCTCCACATAACCGCCTTTTCTCTTTTTCTCTCTTGTCTTTCTCTTCTGCGTCGGGCGAGCAGAAGTGCGCAGTTCGATACCCCGGATAGTATATCCTTTCAGCGCTCTTTGAGGCCGTCGCTTGACCGCCTTTTCGCCTTTGTCCCCCACAAAAGGCCACTCTTTTTTCCACCCTCCAGATCTCTCACAAAACTCTAAAAATGGCACCCGCTGCAACTGAAGCCGCATCGGCTGTTAAGTCGGAAACCGCAAAGTCCATGAAGGCTCTCGAGGAGCTCTTCAAGCGCCTGACCGTCTCCAAGGAGGCTGGCGACATCGAGAGCGCCTCTCATGACATTGCCACCTTGATCAATGGCGATTTGGAGAAGGATGCTTCGCTTGAGTAAGTTTCGATATGGACATGAACGCTTCCCTCAACCCATGCTGACTGGCATTCGCAGGGCTTTTGAACTCCTCAAGAAGCAGCTTGGAAACAAGAAGGATGCTCTCGCTCGTGAGCGCGCTCTCGAGGCCGTCAGGGCCATCGCCAACCACGCTACCGTCTCACCCGCTGTCGAGCCCTTCCTCGTCGCCTTTCTGCCCAACACCCTGGCCGCTGTTGGTGACAAGATCACTTCCGTGAAGAAGGCTGCCGAGGCCGCCTCCGAGTCCATCGTCAAGGCAGCCAACGCCCACGCTGTCAAGGCCATCCTCCCCCACATCTCCGCCTCGCTCGAGACCGCACAAAAGTGGCCCGAGAAGATGATCGATCTCAAGCTCATCCAGGATCTCTGCGAGAGCGCGCCGACCCAGATGGCCTTCCGCGTTCCCGATCTTGTTCCCGTCGTCTCCGGAGCCATGTGGGATACCAAGGCTGAGGTGAAGAAGGCTGCCTACGCGACTATGGAGAAGATCTGCGCCCTCATCTCCAACAAGGATATTGAGCGCTTCATTCCTGAGCTGATCAAGTGTATCGCCAAACCCGAGAACGTTCCCGAGACCGTCCACCTTCTTGGTGCCACCACCTTCGTCACCGATGTGCACGAGCCGACTCTCGCCATCATGGTTCCCCTGCTCGAGCGTGGTCTCGTCGAGCGTGAGACTGCCATCAAGCGTAAATCCGCCGTCATCATCGACAACATGTGCAAACTCGTCGAGAACCCTCAGATTGTCGCCGCTTTCCTGCCCAGGTTGATGCCCGCTCTCGAGAAGAACTACGAGAACATGGCTGATCCCGAGGCCCGTGAGAAGACCAAGCAGGGTCTGGACACACTCATCCGTGTCGGCCACGTCAAGGACGGCAAGATCCCTGAGCTTTCCAAGGCTGGCGACGTCGAGACTGTTGCCGCCAACCTCAAGGCCGTCATCCCCTCCAAGCACAAGGTCGATGCCAAGCTCGAACCCATCGTCAACTACGTCGGCGCCATTGGTGGCCAGCTCGTTGACCAGAGTGACTTCGAGCAGGTCAGCTGGGAGACCAACTGTGGTCCTTTCGTCGAAGTTCTTGTGGGAGCCGATGACGCCAACAGCGTTACCGACGCTCTTCGAAGGCGATCCGTTCCCGGTGCCGAGGACGAGGATGTTCCCGAGCCTGATGAGGAGGAGGGCGAGGACCTCTGCAACTGCACATTCAACTTGGCCTATGGTGCTAAGATCCTGCTGAACCAGACTACCCTCCGCCTCAAGCGTGGCCAGCGCTACGGTCTGTTGGGCCCCAATGGTTCCGGAAAGACCACCCTGATGCGTGCTATCAACAACGAGCAAGTCGAGGGTTTCCCCAAGCAGAGCGAAGTCAAGACAGTCTACGTTGAGCACGATCTCGACTCCGCCGACACTGAGCAGACCGTCATTGAGTGGACCATGAAGAAGCTGAAGTCCGTCGGTATCGAGAAGCCCCAGAACGAAGTCGAGGACAAGCTCGTCGAGTTCGGTTTCGTCAAGGAGCAACTCACGAACCCCATCACTTCGCTCTCTGGTGGTTGGAAGATGAAGCTTGCTCTTGCTCGCGCCGTCTTCGAGGAGCCCGATATCCTTCTGCTTGACGAGCCCACCAACCACTTGGATGTCAAGAACGTCAAGTGGCTTGAGGACTACCTTGTCAACTCGCCTTGCACCTCCATCATCATCTCCCACGACAGCGGCTTCTTGGACAACGTCATCCAGCACGTTATCCACTACGAGCGCTTCAAGCTCAAGCGCTACAAGGGTAACCTGAGTGACTTCGTCAAGCGCGTGCCCTCTGCTCGCTCCTACCACTCGCTCACCGACACCGACATGGAGTTCAAGTTCCCCGAGCCCGGTTACCTTGAGGGTGTCAAGACCAAGGCCAAGGCTATCGTCCGTGTCAGCAACATGTCCTTCCAATACCCTGGAACGAGCAAGCCTCAGATTTCCGACATCACCTTCCAGTGCTCGCTCGGCTCTCGTATCGCTGTTATCGGTCCCAACGGTGCTGGCAAATCTACTCTCGTCAACGTCCTGACTGGTGAACTCATCCCCACTTCTGGTGAAGTCTACCAGCACGAGAACATCCGTATCGCCTACATCAAGCAGCACGCCTTCGCCCACATCGATAACCACTTGGACAAGACTCCTTCCGAGTACATCCAGTGGCGTTTCCAGACTGGTGAGGATCGCGAGACCATGGACCGTGCCAACAAGATCATCACGGAGGACGACGAGAAGGCCATGGACCACATCTACAAGATTGAGGGCACTTTGCGTCGTGTCATCGGCGTCCACTCTCGTAGGAAGTTCAAGAACTCCTACGAATACGAGTGCTCGTTCTCTCTGGGTGAGAACGTCGGCCAGAAGAACGAGAAGTGGACTCCTATGATGACTGCCGACAACGCCTGGCTTCCTCGTAGCGAGATCATCGCCACCCACGCCAAGAAGGTCGCTGAGGTCGATCAGAAGGAGGCTCTTGCCAGCGGTCAGTTCCGTCCTCTGGTTCGCAAGGAGATTGAGGCTCACTGCGCCAACTTCGGTCTTGATGCTGAGCTGGTTTCTCACTCGCGCATGCGTGGTCTCTCTGGTGGTCAGCGTGTCAAGGTCGTACTTGCTGCCTGCTCGTGGCAACGTCCTCATCTGATCGTCCTGGATGAGCCTACCAACTATCTTGATCGTGATTCGCTCGGTGCCTTGTCCAAGGCCCTCAAGTCCTTCGAGGGTGGTGTCATCATCATCACCCACTCCGCTGAGTTCACCAGGGGTTTGACCGAAGAAGGTGAGTAACCTCCCCCATACTTATATGTTCTAAATGCTAATTAATTGATCAGTCTGGAGTGTCGTGGACGGCAAAATGACGCCTTCCGGCCACAACTGGGTGCAGGGACAGGGTTCTGGTCCTCGCCTTACGAATAAAGATGATGATGACGAGCCCAAGTTCGACGCGATGGGCAACAAGATCGAGGCGACCAAGAAGAAGGCCAAGCTGTCCAGCAGCGAAGCCCGCAAGAAGAAGAAGGAGCGCATGGCCCGCCGCAAGCGTGGTGAGGAGGTGTTCTCTGATGAGGACGAGTAGACGACAGTTTCTGGATGCTCAAGAACGATCTTGGCCTCAACAGGGGCGTTTTCCTTTTCCTCGTCACGATTTTGCATTTTCAGGGGGTTTATGCTGTGTCTGTGTTCGGGCCTTTTGTCTATAGACAAGACCGGCCGGCTCTGGATAGCTCGGACATGAACGATGTCGTTTCACGAAGGTTTCTAATGACTGAAGTAGGGGGTCTTTTGCACTAGGCGTCTGGGTAAAAAGTATCTCACGGGTTTGCATACCTGTTGATTGATAGAAATAGAGTTCTTAACTTCCAATGATTCTTACTCGTGGTTTCCTCGTGATGTCTTTGTATAGTACGCTGTCTCCTCTGTGTTTATCATACACCCTCTCTGTGAAGGCGACATTATCGGTAGCACAATCTCAACAGACGGGGGTAATGGAAAGAGTGGGAGCTGTCTTCTCCGGGAGGTATCGCGGTGGCGCTTCCATACTATTATACCCCAAGCCTACAGAAGCCAGTTTCCACTTGCCTGCTGGGACACATAGAAACACGGGCATGAAAGTAGGCTGTAGTGGTGAATGGCAGCGCGATACTGAGTCTCCACTACCTTCCCCACCTTTCCCTTTCCGGAAGCTCTCCACTCACGATCTCCGATGCACCTCCGATGACTAGACGCGGGACAAGCTTGCGAAGCTTCACTTGCCCACACCCACATCCAAATCCACTCGACTTTTTCATCGGACCTGTTGTACGCTCGCTTTTACGCCGCCATTGTTTCCATTCCAGACAAAAGTTGCCGCCAGACGATCCCCCTCGCATTGCTCGCTCGCTGAACATTCATGCAATGAGGTAGCTGGTCCGCCGCATGCATCATGGCTCAGGTCCAGCGACCTTTCTTGATTCAGTCACGATGCATACGACTACTATGTCCGCGTCAAGCTTCCAGAGGAAAAGTGGTCTTCGCACGCGGACGGCACAGCTTGCATACGAGGACAGTCACAGACCATGACATAGCTCACTTGGCCTCATTGCCGCTTCATCCTCTTACGCTCGCAGACCTCGTCAAGTATGTACAACTTCAAGGCAGTGACACCTTCAGAGAGCGAATTGCCTGACTTCGATAGACATGGTCGGCCGCCGCTCACAACTCAGCAACTTCTCTCGTCAGCGAATTTCACCCTCTCCATACTCCCCGCACGCCTCGCACATCGCATAAAGTCGCTCCGCAACCTGCCCTTCATAGTAGTCTCGAATCCGCATATATCCAAGATACACTCCAACTACATACATTCCCTCTCAACCCTTCTACCATGGGCAGAGCGGGAGATCACGACCCTCGAAGACGAAGTGAAATTCACAGAAGTCATGGCGGACCTGGTGCACACACACAGCAACACAATCTCCATATTAGCGCGAGGCTTCATCGAAGCAAGGAAATACATCAGCCCCAAGGACGTCACCAGATTCCTCGACGAGCATCTGCGCGCGCGCATAGGGACGAGGCTGATTGCAGAGCAACATCTGGCGCTGCACTTTTCGAGCCAACCCCATAAGGAGATGATGCATGAGGACCATGCGCATCCTGGGTTCATCGGAGTCATCGACACACAGTTGAAGCCTGCGAGGATTATTCGACATTGCGAGAACGTCGTGGGGGAGATATGCGAGTTGAACTATGGTGTAAGGCCGCATGTCGTGATCAATGGGGAGCCGGACTACACGTTTGCGCATGTGCCGATGCATCTGGAGTACATTATAACGGAGTTGTTGAAGAACGCGTTCCGCGCCACCGTGGAGGGTGGCATGGAGAAGGAACCCATCGAGATCACCATCGCACCGCTCGGAACCAACAGCAACAGTAGTCCCAGCAGCGGCAACGGCGACGGGCATTCCGCGAGAACGACGCCCGATGAAACCATTACGAATCAAACTCAGGGAAATACGGATGTGGCGTCGACGAACATCACAGGGGCGACGCCAACCTTGCAAACCGACGACGCTATACGTCCTCTAGAGCATTCGACACCGGGGGTGACCATCCGCATACGGGACCGTGGCGGCGGCATCTCCCCGGAGAACATGGAGCGGATATGGGACTATTCGTTCACGACGTTCAATGATGAGGAAGCGACTTCGACTCTGAATGGCCAGAGTCCCCAGGATTCGGGCAACGGCATGGATGCGCTGAATGCCATCTCGGGGCCTGGCGGAGAGCGGAAACATAGCCTTGCCGGGCTGGGATATGGCCTCCCGCTGTCAAGGGCGTACGCGGAGTATTTTGGGGGAGGTATACACGTGCAGAGTCTGTGGGGATGGGGCACGGATGTGTACCTCAAGCTTCGGGGCGTGGGACGTGTCGATGTATGAAGGAGGGACATATGTGAAGATCCTGGCTTCGGTTCGTTGAGCGTGAATGTTTGCTTGCATTTACAGGCGTTTTGCGGACAGGGCAGGCATCTGTCTATCTGGAATCTGGGTCGTCAAATGGGAACTGTGTGTATTTGCTCCTGCCACCCGTTCATGGTCTATGCAGTCATGCTACCGGGTATACGAAATCCAGACAACCGTATGTATGTCCCCATGCTCTACTGCGTCCTCACCTCCGCATCCTTCTCGACGGTGAGGTTCTCGTCGCTCTCGAGGACAGATACCTTGTCTTCGGGGAACTCGACCCTGTAGGTCCCTTGTCAGCCCTCTGCTCTCATGTATACAGTGAGAAGGAACGCGGTTACGTACGTGAATCCGGGGATGATGGTGAACTCGTTCGTGATCTTGCCGCCCTGGTCGACGGCCTTCTTCTTCGCGGCCTCGACGTCCTCCTTGGACGCGCCTTTCTTGAGGGTGACCTGTTTATGGTTGGGGGATCAGTGACTGGCTCTCTGTGTGTCGTCCATCGTTGGACTGCGGTTGGGGGGGGTGGGACGTACGTTGTAAGCGGGCATTATGCTGGATGGAGTTGTAGATATAGAAGTATTTGGAGGTCCTGGGAAGAGGTCTGGTGGGAACGGGGGGGATCTTGAGGGAACAGGAGGATGGGATTCGTTGTGTGTTTATATACTGCGCTTTTACTGTGTAGATGGGCGTGGACCTTGGATATGCGCGGTTCAAGCCCTGGAGGGACGATGACGTGCACCCCTCTTCTCCAAAGCCCCACTATGCACCGCCACTAAGGGTGTGCGCCACGGTGTTCGTTGACTGAATTCACAGTAAGGGTAACCATGGGTTTACTTACGGTAGGGTTAGTAGATTAGGAATGGAGATTCAATGTAGCCGTTTTACAATGCTCTATTCTCTCCTAGGAGGGGAGTTGGCTTCTAGATAAGCGGAATGAAGCGTAGCTCAGTGTGCCTTCCTTAGGTGGGTACCCGTGTGCGCTAGTCTTATCGATAAGCCCTACCCCTGCACCGCAAATCTTGGCGACTCGAAATTTTGGGAAACCGAGAAAGCTCGGATGGCAACGAAACATCTCGAGGCACCACCAAATCCTCCACGTTCCCACGCCTACGCCCTAAGTGCTGGAAATTTGTGCCTCTGGGCGACAGGCGCAAACCAGCAACATGGCGGACCAAACGAACCGCCCCCACCGCAAATCCAAGGAGAAGAAGCCTCATTCCGGAGGCCACAACCCCAAGGCATTCGCCTACGCGACGCCCGGCAGGCTTCAGAAGCAAGCAGCGCGCTCCCACGATGTACGTTTTCCAAAGAATCTCTTCTCATAACGATATCATGTACCTGACACAAAAACCAGGTCAAGGAGAAACGCCTGCACGTCCCCCTCGTCGACCGCCTGCCCGAAGAAGCGCCCCCCATCATCGTGGGCGTCGTCGGCCCTCCCGGCGTAGGAAAGACGACACTTATAAAATCGCTCATAAGGCGGTACACGAAGCAGACGCTTTCCGCGCCGACGGGCCCACTCACGGTTGTCACGTCGAAGCGGCGAAGGTTGACGTTCATCGAGTGTCCGGCCGACTCGCTCGCGAGCATGATCGACATCGCGAAAGTGGTGGATATCGTGCTGCTCATGATCGACGGCAACTACGGGTTCGAGATGGAGACGATGGAGTTTCTGAATGTGCTGAGCGCGAGCGGGATGCCGGGGAATGTGTTTGGCATCCTGACGCATCTGGACCTGTTCAAGAAGCAGGAGACGCTCAAGTTGCAGAAGAAGAGGCTCAAGCATCGGTTCTGGAGCGAGCTGTATCAGGGCGCGAAATTGTTCTATTTGTCGGGCGTGGTGAATGGGCGGTATCCGGACAGGGAGATTATGAATCTGTCGAGGTTCTTGTCCGTGATGAAGAACCCCCGGCCGCTCATTTGGAGGAATTCGCATCCGTATTGTTTGGCTGATCGGTTTTTGGATATTACGCCTCCTACGGATATCGAGAATGACCCCAAGTGCGACCGCACCATTGCGCTGTACGGCTATCTACGCGGCACAAACTTCCCCGCCCAGGGCTCAAAAGTGCACATCCCCGGCGTGGGCGACCTAAGCGTATCGTCCACCGAAGCACTACCGGATCCGTGCCCGACGCCCTACGCAGAGCAAGCACTGGCAAAGATGACTGGGAAGGCAAAAAGGACGCGGTTAGGAGAGAAACAGAAGATTTTGTTCGCACCCATGTCGGATGTTGGTGGTGTGTTGGTAGATAAAGATGCGGTATATATCGACGTCAAGACCAACACGTTTAATGCGGATGAAGAGCCGGATCACGAACGTGGGTTAGGAGAGCAGATGATGTTGGGGTTGCAGGGTGGAAGGAGATTGCTGGGTGAGGGGGAGGCGCAGATGAGGTTGTTTAGCGGTGGGAAGGTCGTTGATGGGAATGTTGCCGATGATGATAGGGAAGATAGTGGTCGCACATCGCAACGACATGCGAGATTGGCAGAGGGTGGGGATATCGACGATGCTGATCTGGAGGGCATCGCATCGGACGAAGAGAACTATGAGGACGGCGAGGGAGAAGAGGATGAAGGCGATGATGGGTACCTGGAGACATCGAATGGTCAACCGGCTTTTGCACGAAGGAGAGATTCGGAAGCAGACGGTGCGGTGAATGAGGACATTGCATTCGCCGACAGCGACTCCGATCTAGGTTCAATATCAGGCGACGACGTCGATCTGGATCATCTGGAAGATCCGCCATCCGATTACGATGAGGAGGGAGACGACGACGACGAGGGCACGCTGCGATGGAAAGCGAATCTGCAGGAAAATGCGCGCAAGATGCACGGGCGGAATCGACCCTATCGGACAACCGAGCTGGCGCGGATGATGTATAACCTGTCGCTGACTCCGGCCGAGGTGCTCAAGAAGTGGCGTGGAGAAGAGGAAGAGGAGGAAGAGGAAAATAGCGAGGATGAAGGTGACGATGACTTCTTCAAGAAGTCCAAGGCGGCAGATGCTGCCGAGGAAGAGGACCGTTATATACCCCTTTACGACTATGCTGCTTTGGAAGAGAAGTGGGAAGATGAAGAAAATATCGAGGCTTTGAAGAGCCGGTTCGCCGTCGGACATCTCGCTGGTAAAGGAGGGGAGGAAGACGGCGAAGAGGGCGAATTTGAAGGCTTCGATGAGGAGGACGAGGGAGATGGTGAGTTTGAGGATCTAGAGACGGGCGAAACTTTTGGTGGCAAGGACAAAGACAAGGCAGCGGAGGACGAGGCGAAGAGTCTTGAAGAGGAGCGTGCGAAGAATGCTCGAAGAAAGGAGGAGCTAAAGCTTCGTTTTGAGGAAGAGGACAGGGAAGGCTTCATGAACGACAAGACGGACAGCCGGAAGGAGGGAGGCGAAGATGAAGAGTTTGGCGAGGATGACTGGTACGATGCGCAAAAGGCCATGATCCAGAAGCAGCTCGACATCAATCGTGCCGAGTTCGACCAGCTGGACGAGGTATCGCGAGTGCGGGTTGAGGGCCACAAGGCCGGTACCTATGCTCGGATTGTGCTTGAAAAAGTGCCCTACGAATTCTCCGTCAACTTCAACCCTCGCTTCCCCATCATCATCGGCGGTCTTACTCCCACAGAGGAGCGATTCGGCTATGTACAAGTGCGGATCAAGCGCCACCGCTGGCACAAGAAGATCCTCAAGACCAACGACCCCCTCATCTTCTCCCTGGGCTGGCGACGCTTCCAAACCCTCCCCCTCTACAGCATCTCGGACTCGCGGACCCGAAACCGCATGCTCAAATACACGCCCGAACACATGCACTGCTTCGGCACCTTCTACGGCCCGCTCGTGGCGCCCAACACGGGCTTCTCGTGCGTGCAGAGCCTGTCCAACAAGACGCCCGGCTTCCGCATCGCGGCCACGGGCGTCGTCCTCAGCGTCGACGAATCCGTCGAGATTGTCAAGAAGCTGAAGCTCACGGGGCATCCGTACAAGATCTTCAAGAACACGGCCTTCATCAAGGACATGTTCCAGAGCGCGCTCGAGATAGCCAAGTTCGAGGGTGCCAGCATCCGCACGGTCAGCGGCGTGCGGGGCCAGATCAAGCGCGCGCTCAGCAAACCCGAGGGCCATTTTCGAGCTACCTTTGAGGACAAGATCCTCATGTCGGATATCGTGTTCCTGCGCGCGTGGTATCCCGTCAAACCGCACCGGTACTACAATTGCGTGACGAATCTGCTGAGTCCGCCGGGGCCTGGGGATGAGGGGGAGAGCACGGGGTGGAAGGGTATGCGCCTGACAGGCCAGGTGCGGCACGAACAGGGCATCGAGACGCCGGCGAATAGGAACTCGGCGTACCGCAAGATCGAGCGGCAGACGCGGCACTTCAACCCCTTGCGCGTGCCTAAAAAGCTGGCCGCTGAATTGCCGTTCAAGTCGCAGATTGCGGCCATGAAACCGCAGAGCAAGAAGACGTATCTGCAGAAACGCGCGGTGGTGGTGAAGGATAGGGAAGAGAAGAAGGCAAGGGCGTTGATGAGCCATCTCATGACGGTAAGGAATGAGAAGGTAGCGAAGAGGCGGGAGGCGCAGGAGAAGAGGAGGGAGGGGTATAGGGCCAAGGTGAGGGAGAATGCGGAGAAGAGGGCTGAGAGGGAGAAGAGGGAGAAGGCGGAGTTTTGGCGGAGGGAGGGGAAGAAGAGGAAGGCGGCGGAGGCGGGGGGTGGTGAGGGGAAGAGGAGGAGGAAGTAGATGATGTGGTCTTTCTGTGTGGGTGTGAGAGCGAGTGGGTGTACGGTTTTGTGATTGTTCATGGCTTCGATATTTTGTTCCATATACCTCATTTGTACCGTATACGGGATAACCGTCCTTGTGCCCGAGGTCCAATTTGTATGCCGACTCGTCAGGCGAGTCTTTTACAGCATGCCCGGCGAACTCGAAGCGTTGTCTAAGTTTTGCTTTTCATCCTTTCCTCCAGCGGCATATTCGGGCGGTCACGCAAGTCGCCCAGTTCTAGTTGCTGTATCAGTTTGTATACTCGAAACGGAAAGGCTCAGGGCGCCGCCGTATCGTGCAGTGTGTAGCCAGTCGGTCAGGCTCTTCCTCACACTTCCTTCAACTGCTGCGTTGTCGACGATTCCATAACGGAGTGGACAGACACAGCTCAGCAAAGCGTTGGGAACTTGTCGTGTATCTATCTATCGTACGGATCAGACGGGCGGGTTCTGGGGAGATGTTATAGCAGATTTACTCGCAAGGGGAAGAGTATTGTGGAGGTAGTTGAGTGCACTTAATTCAGATCCCGATCCTTTGCTTCTTCTTTGGTGCCTCGCTGTGTACGTCGTATTGCGTCACGATAGAAGATGAAAAGGTTCAAGTTGCTCCAATGGGCTCGCATCTGGTAAAGGAAGATTTGCTGTCAACTCACTTGCTTGCGTTGTAACCATCATATCCTTGTGAAAATTTCTAACGCAAGTATCAAATAACGCCCATGTCCGCGGAGGATAACCTGTGATGGATATTGTGAATGACTTCGATACGAGTGTGGTAAGTGAGCATGGTGGCACTGGGAAGGAAACTGCGCTTTTCACTGCTCCTATTCGTGCTATCTTGGGATTCGAGGATTGTGTCCAGCCGAGCTGCGAGTCCGGCGAAGTACATCAACTAGCCCTCTAACCCCACTGATCTGAGTCTGACGGAAGCAAAAGCTCACTCACTCTATCCCGATCGACCCGCCCATAAACATCCTTCCCCGACACATATATACCCCTTACCCCATCCTCAGCGCAAGACACCCCTGTACATCCTGCTTTGACGCCTTCTAACTGCTCCTTCTCGCCACACTCATCGAAAACCTCATCATCGGCTGATAACTCTTCACATGCGGCGCGAGCACCAGCGGCCACGTAGTCGTACTCCCGACCCCCCTGCCGGGCTCGATACTCAGGAAGTAGTCGCCCCACAGCGGACCAGCAGCCCAATACGTCCAGCCGATCCACTGCGCGCTGTTTTGCTCCATGAAGGTCAGCGTCGAGTTGAGCGTCGCCCAACACCCTTCGTTGGCTGCGGCGCCGAATTCGGAAAGGAAGGCCGTGTAGTTTTTCTCCTTCAGCCAATTCGTGACGGCGTATAGGTTTCCCGGTGAAGCGGTCGTGCATTCTGCTTCCATGCCTCCAGTGTCCTTGTCAAAGTACACGTGCATGTCGAATGCGAAGTTGTTGCCCGGTTCGTATATCTGCGTCATCACCTCTGAGTTCGCCGTGCACTGCTTGGCTGCGTCCCAACAGGTATACTCCATCCATCTGTGTGCACCAGCGAAACCGTTCCCGGGCACCAGGATCAGTTGCTTGGCTCCTGCGGCACGGATGGCGTTGATTGAGGCCTGGTTGTTGGCAAGGACGAGGGAGGTCGGCATCTCGTGCGGTTCGTTCATGAGGCCGAAGATGACATTTGGATTGGAGACGAACCGTTCGGAGAGGGCGTACCAGAAGTGCGCAAGTTGCTGGGTTGTGGCGGCAGATGGGTCGGCGCTGCCGATTACGCTGCCGATTACGCTGCCGGACCAAGGTTGATTCGAAGGGTCATTGTAGCCTGCTGTTGTGAATCCTGAAATGATAAGGGAAGAGTTTGTGGGGGTGTGGCTCTGCAGTGGAAGGAGAAGGATGCCAGGTTCTTACGCATGTAGTTGTGGGCATCTAGTATCGCATAGGCGCCCGACTTGGTGATGTGAATGACGGCCTTCTGAAGCTCGGCGAAGTATGTCTCGTTGAAGGTGCTGCCGAGGCCGGTTGAGAGAGGGCATATGCGTTCCTGATGAGGGAGGGGGGTAAGTAAACAGCAGGAAGCTGTGATTTTGATTCGAGGATTGCATTCTTCCCATCGCGCTCGAAGATCTCGAACACTCCAGCCACCAGATAACCTGGAAGAGGCAACGCGTGTAATGGCAGGAATGAATCGACGCAAATCACTCAACATACCAATAAGAAAGGCAACCTTACTACGTTTATGCCTTCATTGAGGAAGATGTCAATGGTGGTCTCATTGATGAACCTGTAGTCGATTCCGAAGGTGCCAGGGAGATTGTGCTGGCCGAATTCACCGCCAGCTGGTAATGTGCCAGGAATGTTAGTAGGGTCTTTTGAGGGAGGTAGAGTAAGGACCAGAAGCGAAGGACGAGGAAAAGCGGATGAAGCAAGTGAGGGCTTTGATCCATTGATAGTATGAGGGAGAAGAGAGCGCCGATGGAATGGAGACGTGATGGAGATGGCAGACGAGCATCCAAAGGAGGGAGAATAAGAGAGAGGGTTCATACCAGAATTGACGCCCGCATACAGAATCTGAGCCACTCCGCTCTGCGCAGCAAAGAGGCCGATCAAAAGCACCAGGTTCAGAAGCTTCCATAGAGCCATCATGGCGCAAGGTGACGATGAGGGTTATGAAAGGCAAGAGGGAGAGGAAGGAGAGAGGTAAAGAGAGAGGTATATAAGCAAGGAAAGAGAGAGGCAAAGAGAGAATTATGTAAGAGCAGAAAGAGACCGGTGAAAGAGAGAAGTAAAAGACGGGAGAGAGGTAAAAGAGCGGTAAGTAGTCGCAACCTCGCTTGCCAAGATAGAGTGACTTCTAGAAAGGTACACCGCACCTTCCTTCACCGCCGTCTTTCACCTTCACCTTCACTTCCCTTCGAGAAAGGCAAGGCTTCACATAGTGGCTAGGGCTGCGCGGCCAGAGGGGAGCCACGGCTCAGTGTACGCCGGAGTACATGATATATAGTAGAAAGGGAAAGAAAACGCCAAAACTGCTTGACGATAGTGTCCCTTTCAGCCGAGAATGTGAGCCTGAACTCGTCCCAGGTGCCGGGCCCCGTCCACGGGTAGGTTATCAAGTGGGCAAGACCCGCCATCTGGAGAGGGAGTACCAAGCTTCGAGGCTCCAAGCTTCATGCAAACTTCTGGTCGGGAAACACTCTCTAGGAAATGTTGCGTAATCCCACGGAAACCCCTCATGCTCATATGTCAGATCCGATCCCAGTCTCACTCCAGGCATTCCAGTAAGAACCCGAAGTAGCAGATATGAGAATTTCATGACCCTCCTCTGCAGTTGCAACAGGAGACTATCTACATATAGTCCTTCTGCTTGTACAAACAAGAGAGCAAGCTAACTATACACGTGACGGAAGCTGCTAGAGAGGAAACCACCTGGGCAACGATTCCATGTCCGCCGAAGATGGCGAAGAGGGATATATTTGTACTGTATAGACTATCTATTGTTAGCCGAGTACTGCTGGGCCTGTAAGCCCTAGGTCGTTGGAGTGATGATAGTTTCGTATATATGTACAGCCCTTGGAAGCTGCTAGACACTTCTCGCCATCCTGTACTCAGGGCGATATTAATAAAAAGTAATTGCAGTTTATATACCAAATCATAAATTCGGTGTAGTTACAGAAAAGACAAACGCGAGATATTTTCATGTTGCCGAGCACAAACGCAGCAAACCGTGATTTGAGGCAAACCGCAGAGTTATATAGATTCCGATTTGAAAGTTAGTGCGCCTGACTGTATCTACTGTCCGTACTATGGAAAAATTGAAAATTATATGCCACAGCACGACTCGAACTAGGGCCCTCCAAATGGCAATAAAAACGTCGACCGGCCGAATCGGTGCAATACTGCGTGACTCTCTGCCTTTGGAAGCCGATAGACCTTTTTCGCTATCCTGTACTCAGGGCGAAAGTAAGGAAAGTAATTGAAACTTATATACGAAAAGATCGATGAACTGTAATTGCAGAAATCACGGACCGAGGAATCTGCACGTGCCGAAGACAAACGCAGAAGTGGTAGCGGCCCCGGGGCGTTCAGGGAGGATGGCAGATGTTGGAACAGGTATGTATGGATTCTTGGTACTCAGAAGCTTGTACACCTCACTGTATCTACAGTCCGTACATGAGAGGCGGCTCCGTCAGAACCTACGGCTTCCCAAGGGTTCTTCCCCGCTGTCTTCCACCACAGTACCGAAGTTGCTGCTTCCTAGCTAGATCCGGTAGTTTGGAGTGACCGTCCACAAGACTTCCGCACTGGTCTCCTGTACACATCTCCCCTCACAATACCAATTGTCCAAGACACAAACGCCGTCAGACAACCAATTCTCAGCTTGCACCGGCAAGTCATCACAAATGAAAATATGGAGATGTAGAAACGTGCTTAGCTCTGCGTCATAATCTTGTAATCATACAACAACCACCTTCCTCCTTCACACTCATCAATCCATTTCCCCTTCCTCACATCCACCCACCGGTCCAAGCACCAAGCTCAAATAAATCTACCAACATCACCCGCCTTCAAACCCTCCTACCCACCATCGCCGCCACCTTCTACGTCTCACCATGCATCCCCTTCTCCGCACTCGAATAATCCCACCTGGGCAACTTCATCGTCCCATGCTCATTCAAATGCTTATGCATATCGAACGAATTCCACAGCAAATGCGGCTCGTGGCCCCAACCCTTGCGTAGGCACTCAAACTCGGCCTTGTTCAGATAGTCCTCGAGGATGGGCTTGTAGTCCGGGTGCGCGCACTTGTCGATGATGACGCGGGCGCGCTCGCGGGGCGACAGGCCGCGCACGTCGGCGAGGCCCTGCTCCGTGACGATGACGTCGAGGTCGTGCTCCGTCTGGTCAATGTGCGTGCACATGGGCACGATGCACGAGACGCCCGTCGGGTCCGTCTTGGACGGCCGCGTCGAGGGCGTGTGCATGATGGAGTACTTTGCGGAGCGCAGGAAATCGGCGGAGCCCCCGAGGCCGTTCAGCATGCGCGAGCCCATGACGCACGTCGAGTTGGCGTGGGCGTAGATGTCGACCTCGACGGGCGTGTTCATGCCGATGACGCCTAGGCGGCGGATGATCTCGGGCGAGTTGGAGACCTGCTGGGAGCGGAGGAGCAGCTTGGGCGTGTAGTGGTCCCAATTCTTGTAGAAGCGCTCGAAGCCATCGGGGGAGAAACGGATCGAGGTTGCGGTGGCGAAGTCGAGGTTGCCCGAGTCGAAGAGATCGAGGAACGAGTCCTGGAGCACTTCGGTCCATACTTGGAGGTTCTTAAAGTTTGCACCCCCGGACTGCATTCATTAGGTTTGGCGCCATAGCTGGGTAAGAGAGACTCACCGCAAGGCCGCCAATGACGGCGTTGGCGATGTTGCCAATACCGGACTGGATGGGAAGCAGGTTCTTGGGAAGACGGCCGTGGTCCACCTCGTGCTTGAGGAACTCGATCAAGTTGGACGCGATGGCGCGAGAGGTGTCATCCTCGGGCGCATTGGGCTGCGTCTGGTCGGGATAGTCGGACTCGACAATGGCAACGACCCTCTCTGGATCCACGGGAATGTGGGGTGTTCCGATCCTGTCCTCGGGGCCCATGATCAGGTAGGGCTTGCGGCGGGGAGGAAGATCGGTCATAGTGATGTCGTGCAGGCCCTCGAATGAAGGCGCGGCGGTGTTGACTTCGATGATGATCTTGTCTGCCATCTGGATGATTTCGGGCGAGGCACCGACGCTGGCGCCGGGGATAATGCCTCCATCATCAGTGATGGCGGAGGCTTCGACAATGGCGACGTCGATTCTGTTGTTGGGCTTGTTCAGGGTGTAGTATCTACATGTTGTCAGAGTGTTCAACAGACATCATCTCAACTGACTATAGATGCTTACTTACCCATACATCAAGTCCACGGGGAACATACTCAGGTGTTTATCAAAGAACTTGATGTTCCCATTGTTGATCCCCTTTGCAATATCCTTGCCGACCTGATGCGGAGACCGCCTCTCAATCATATTCAGCCGCGCCCATCGGTTCTCCGTCTCGGCGCCCGACGACGCGCCAACAAACAGATTGTACTTGAGCTTGCCCTGGAGGTTGTTCTGCTCGACATGGTCCGCTAGCGCGGTGGGGATCTTCCTAGCGGAGAACTGTTAGCGGATCGCTTCGGGGAATGCTCGGTCAAGACAGTTCCGAGGGTGAACGGAGGTCGGAGTCGGAGGTGGAATTTAGGTGGACTTGGAAATGGGGAAGAAGAATTTCGAAATTGGAGTTTGGAGGAGAAGGTGGATGAAAAATGAGAATAAAAGGAGAAAAGAAAAGAAGTACGTACTTGGGGTATCCCACACCAGTGAAGCCAGACCACCCGATGTATGCGCCGTTGGGGAAGTAATGAAGCAAATCCTCTGCCTTTGCGAGCTTCTTCAGATAGCTCGGCCGCCGTACACGGCTTTTGAGGAGTGCTGAGGCAGACATAGCTGCCGTGGTTCTGTAAAATCCAGGTGTGGTGTTGGGATATCAGTTCCCCCAAGGGTTGGTTGCGAAGCGAGCAGAAACAGTCCAATTGTCCCTTCAACGTTGTCAATCGGGTTCAAGACAAAGAAAGGAGCGCGGAGAGAAGAATAGAGAAGAGAGGAAAAGGTCTGGGTCATGAGAAATAAATCTCCAAATAATGGATCACTAAGGCATTTAGGGTGCGCGAGTATTGCCCTAGCGCAATGATCCCCCATGACGTCGAACTTTCAACGAGTATACCTTATTGGGAATAGCGTCTTTTCCTGAGGTGAACATCAGCTTACGACTTCGTCCAATGTTCGGATAATTTTGCTTTGCCATGACGGGCTAAGAAATTCCTAGGTTGTGAATACTGTCAGCTCCGCAATCCAGGCTTCAAAATGAGATAAATGAGGCAATGTCTTGATAATCGTAAGTCGTTAGGTCTACAGCAGACCATCGAGCCAACAGATATGATGACCAGCTCCCACTGAAATTCAAACAGCCAACAAGGCAATCCACACAAAACATAGGCTTGTTGAAGCTCTAATCATGCCAACCACATGCATTCCATGCTGCAAAGCAATAGAGTTATGGGTATCACAACGCCAACCGTGCAATGCAATCGTTCTTCTGTTAAGGATATTCACGCTTAGTCATGCAAGCGATAGACACTGCCAGAGGGTATTATGAACGAGCACCTTCCTGGTGGTAGAAAGCGGATCGCCCGTTTGGTTGGGACATTGGGAGACCGTTCGGTTGTGACATCGGAAGATGGCCGGTGCCATGATCGTTCATGATATGATTCTCAAACATGACGCGACGTGCAGGGAGCTCTCGTTTCGGAGTCTCATTGGTGCCGCTGCTAGTATGCGCCAGGCGACCGGCGTTATTGGGACTGCTCAGGAATAGGAGTGTGTCAACGGCATCTTTCTCGGCCTGTTGACTCGGCATGCGCAATATCCCTGGTCGTTGGGGAGCGTTTACCGTCCGGGAAGGGGCAGGTCCCAGGTCGCTGTAATGCTTCTTCTGGTTTGGACCAAGTAAGGATGGGGGATGGAACGAAGCACTCGAGCGGCGTTTTCTGCGAGGTGCTATTTCCACTGCTGGAGCTAGCGCCGTGCTATGCCCGTCAGTGTTCACCATCGGGGAGGCAGGAGGCGCATGGGAAAGAGATTGTTGTGGCTGCCAATATGCTGCAGAGGGTTAGAACCCGAGCTGATAGTATAGAAAAGAGCATACCCGATGGGGTCGCGGCCGACGACCTTGACACTCCTGAAGGACTTGGCAGTCCTGGTGAGAGCATGACTTGGTCGGATATCTCTGAAAGCGCGCTCGGTCTCCGGCGCCTTGTCACGTCTCTCGGAGAATCCAGCGTGGACCCAAAACCTTCACTCCGACTGGGGCCAGACACAGGCGAGCCAAGCTGGGACGTCTCATCCTCAAGGTCGTCGAGGGACTTCTTCTCCCACCCATTCTGGACCTTGACCATGGCATATGATAGGCGAGTTTTAAGCTGTGCGGACAGCTGCATCATGATCAGCAACGAACACATCACGCAGGTATCCATTGCTGGTACCCACCTCTCCGATCCGGCCGCCGGGCCTTGCCTCCATACTTTTGTTTCTCTTATGTATCGTTCTGCCGGTCGGGACGCTATCCATAGTGAGGACCGGCCCCTTCAACATGCCGCTCGCGGTTCTCTTGGACCCCTGAGCGAACACCGGGGAGTCGACCGGCATGGGGCTTGCTGTTGTGTTACCGGTTCGCGGCGGCTCAACCGCGTCGATCGGATGGCGTGCAAGATGTGCATCTTGGGCCTCAGGCTCCGGCGGACGAGGAAGAGCTTCGTCTTCCACTTTGTTTTGGCTTGACGGGTACGACGTCACGGTAGACTTGAAATCCGTTTCGGCGACTGTCGAGTTGGACAGGTTACTGGAGGACGATGGTAGCCCTGGCGCAGAGAAAGTGCTCGAGGCGGCAGAAGTTGCCGATTCTTGGGAATTGGGAAGCTCCGCACTGTGGGCGGTGCCGTTGTCTGGTGGTAGTTCCGTGACATCTGAATGCTAGGTCAGTTCATGCCGGCGCTTCCCATGGCTCGCGTCTGCTCACCCATCATGTGGCGGGGTATTACAAGAACCGGCGCACCATCGGTGGCGGACATCGGTTCCTCTGGAGGCTCTAACTATGGCGGTAGGCCAGTTGTCCAGCTCACAAGTTGGACAATGGCAAGATGGAGTGTTGCGATGACTGCGTTTGCGACCTCTCTGGTACCAGGAGACGTGTTTCGCGCGCAACGTGTGTGTGCGGGGACCGTGCAGACGCCGACACCGACCGCACGTCGAGCGCTGGTCGCAGGGGGAAGTCCAGAGAGAGAATCGGGCCAAACGCGTACGGAATGCTTCAGCAGGCCAATATGTCGCGTGGTTGTATGAGGAAAAGACAAAGGGGTCGCACCGTGCCTGGATCCATGCGTCGGCCTGGATCATGATGCGAAATCACGTGTGGAGTGCGATGCCGCGTCACGCTGGGGCTCATGGCTAAATAGATAAATAAACAAGGGGCGCTTCCGGCGAAAACCTTGATAAGGTAATAGTTAATGTCTCCAGAAAGTCGAAACAAGTTAACCTCAATCGAACTCAAAATCCAGCACGATATCCTTGAGGTTTCCATGTCCGATCGAACAGCTACGAATTACACGGACACACCAGCTCCTCTAATAAGCTACTCTTCTCATAGCAGTATTGGGTGATAGCCAATTCGCTTGCACCGACTAGGTCATCTCACCCACGGAGAAACTGGAGGGGAGTGTACGTTCAATCGGACGTGAAAGAGGCAGTAATGTGATAATTTCTCAACATCCAGGTGCCTATGCCGCGACGCCGCTCACTTTCCTAGCCCTCATCCCCCACTTCCCACCATTCCCCAGCCCACCGCGTCCCTCCTCAGCGATCTTCCCGCTCACATCGCGTCTGCGGCCTGGCGTGCCCAAATCAGACTCATCGTCGAAGTCATAGCGCCCGCTGTAGTCAACGCCTGTGCGGCTGATTACTCGCGGAGACTGCCCTCTGACTGGAGAGTGGGATACTTCTCCTGTCCTGCGAACGCTCGAGAAAGCTTTCTTATCTAGACTAAAGGGTGAGGTTGGCGCGGGTTTAGGCATTGGTGCATTGGTGGTGTAGAGCTTCGTTGAGCTAGGAAGATCGTTTGGTGTTGATGGCTTTGTTGGCGATGGTCCGGAGGCGTTGGCTGGCGAGCCTCCATTGCGGATGCTGCGCGTGGCGGCTTGCAGGTCTCCATAAAATCGAGGCTTCGGAGTACTTGTTCGGCTTGGTGAGCGAGTGAGTGTAGCTTCGCTCGAGTCTTGTTCTGTTGAGCCTTGTGCAGTCGCAGTCATCTTGGCAGGAGGTGGAGTGGGCGGGTTCATGCGAAGAGGTTGAGGCATCATAGGAGGTTCAAGCTCTTCATCCGAAACATCATCGTATGTGGCTACAGCCCTGTAGCCTTGTCCTGACTTGGAGGCAAACATGGACTGTGGCCGATTTCGAGGCACCTCCTCATCCTCGTTGTCCGCAGTATGGACGAACCAGTTGTCCGATTGTAGACTCTGCTGAGAGATATCGCCCGTAGAGCGCTTGGTTTCTGTGGTAGAAGGCGGCGTGTAAAATTCCTGCCGAGAAGAGGCCATAGATTGCGGTCTGGAGCTCCTTTTGAGATTCTGCTGTGCAAGGAACGACTTGCGCTGCGCTAATGTCTCATTATCCGAGTCCTCATGACGACGATGCAAATCGTCCCTATGGTTTAGGTCCGTGCGTGACTGTTGAGCTGAGGCTTGTTGCGAATAGAGGGACCTGGAATAGCGAGCAGAGTTTGGTGTATGCGGCGAGTAAGCCACTGCTGAGTTGTTTCGCGTGTGCATGAAATGGATCTGATTCTCTTCTGGAGCAGGAATCTCTTTCTCCGAGATGAGAGGATACGACTGCGAGTTTCTATCACCAACTAGCGTCGATTTTCCACTCTGTGTGCTGAGCCGCTTGTCCTCGGCAGTCAGAGGGGTAATGGCGGATATCGAGGAGTTCTTGTGCTTATGCTTCGTCTTCTGGCGTGAGGTAAGATTATCCTCCAATGGGTTCATATCAGGAGGCAGTTTGGAGATCTTCCGGAACATGATGACCAGGTAGAGGTCCAAGATGATTGAGGCAATGTGTAACCCTCCAACCGTGGTAGCCGCAAGCCATGCCGCTTGCAGCACCTTGTCAGTCTCTTCGTCCGTAGGGAAGAATGTTCTCCATCGGCCATCTGTCCCGGCGGGCTCATTGTAGTTTCGCTTCGAGAGCAGCGCAGTGAAGACGTAAAAGGGGATGAAACCAGCATCCATAACAGCCGCGAAGAAGTGGTAGCTCGCAGAGCTTCCCGCGGGCCGTGACTTTGCTGCCCTCAGAAGGTGGTAGATGGCGTAGAGACAGTTGACCATATCCACTCCAGGCTGATGGATTTGTTAGCTCTGTTTCGACCCGGTCCATGATTTCTCATACAGGTATCCGTATTATGTAGCCTTCGGTGTTCCCGGCTCCGCGGATGAAGATAGCACATAGCAGCACCCCGACAGCACCAAATAGAGTAAGCACTCGGAAGACACATTGAATCCATCTCGTGACCTTGATCCACACCTTGACCGTGGGGTTCATGGGCTTTGCTTTGGTCTTGTTAAATGGCAAGACGATGTGGCTATCCGGGTGCCTGTTGAAATCGATCAAGGGTCCATCAGGCTTCGGTTTCTTTGGCGGCGGTAGCCTGTAGCTCGCCATGGTGACAGCTTTGGGATTGAACTTGTCCACGAAGGGCGAGTCGCTCTCGGATGTGCGCAGGTAGGGCTGCCAGCGGCCCATGGTGAACGACGTTCCAGTTGCCGAAGGCCAAAAGAATGCAAAACCTTCGTTGAGCGAACTGTGGAATGTAGACTTCAACGAAGGGATGCTGCCTTCGTTAGGCGGGAGGAATGTGATGGGATGGGCCCAGGAGACATGGGGTGGGATGATCTCTGGAGGAGGTAGGTAACAAATACGCGTTGCCACGGCAACAATCAGCTTGTATGACGCAATGCATTATGAGGGGAGCTGAGAACTGTCGACCAAGAAATCATACCTACGGACGGACGTGGAGGCGGTACGATTTACCACAGTATGGCGGATCGTGAGGCCTGCCTCGTTTAGCATTGGCAATGGAAGGCAAGTAATGCGAGTAACATAACCCAAGGAAAGGAGCTCGCCTTACTGTGTAAGCTTTTTTGCTGCGATCTAGGGTGGTCCCCGGGGATGCAGACCACGTTCCCTCCACTCCTCTCGCGCGCCGCGATGATTCAATGTTCGCGCACCGAGACATTTATTAGACCATGGATTGTGAGTTTGCTTCTGAGAGGGAAGACTGGATGGCATCGTGGTTTCTTCAGACCTGCGGCTTACTAATCGGCGACAGGCAAAAATGACGCTCACTTGCGAACTTCGACAGTTGCAAGATGCGACTGTCAATTCAATCAACACCAGCACGATATTCGTGCGCAAATCTAGCGCGCCGTCTTTCTCATGCGCGTCCGGGGAGACCCGGTGCTTTGATCGGTGCTTTGATCGGCGGACGTAATGGCTTCCTCAGCGCCTCTCCCCTTCACAAACACCCTATATCGACCTTGATTCCACCACGTTTGCCCAAGACAACCTCAAGAACGTCTCTGAGCTTCCAGCAATGCCATGCTTACACGACGCACCCATCTACCACAAACCCAAACCCTTTCCGCGCCGCAATTATCGGCTCCGGCCCTGCAGGCTTCTACACAGCCTATCGGCTCCTCTCCAAGCTCCTAACCGCCCATGTAGACATGTATGAGCAGCTTCCCGTACCTTACGGCCTCGCACGCTTCGGCGTCGCCCCTGACCACCCGGAAGTCAAGAATTGCGAAAACAAATTCGAAGAGGTAGCGGAGGACTCGCGGTTCACGTACATCGGGAATGTGGCTGTGGGACGGGATGTAGAGCTGAAAGAGATGAAGGCGCACTATGATTCCATCATTTTCGCCTACGGCGCCAGTCAGGATCGGAAATTGGGGATTCCTGGGGAAGATCTGGGAGGCGTGTACTCTGCGCGGGAGTTCGTAGGGTGGTACAACGGACTCCCACAACTCGCATCACTGGCGCCAGCGCTGGATGCGGGCGAGGACGCCATAGTCATCGGTCAGGGCAATGTAGCGTTGGATGTTGCACGCATACTGCTCACTCCTGTGGATGCGCTGCGGAAGACGGATATCACGGAGGCGGCGCTCGAGACGCTGGCGAAGAGCCGGGTGAAGAGAGTGAAGGTGGTGGGGAGACGGGGACCGCTCCAAGTATGTATTTGACTTGGTTTCTCATTCCGAACGCATTCCCCACATTACCTCATAGTCCTAACTCGAATCATATAGGCCGCCTTCACCGTCAAGGAAGTCCGCGAGCTCATGCATATCCCCGGCGTCTCTTTCACGCCCATCTCTAGCTCCTTCTACCCAGAAAACCCCAAATCCCTCCCTCGCATCCAAAGACGCATCGGCGAGGTCCTCCTCAAAGGCACACCGGATGCTCCCCCTGACACATCACCAAAAAACTGGTCCTTGAGTTTCCTGCTAAGTCCAAAATCGTTCAATCCCTCGCCGGATAATGATAAACATATATCGTCAATAACGTTCGCTCCTCAGAGATTCGCAGATGATGCAGATCGTTACTCCAACGCCGCTCGCGTGGTTCCTAACACCGAGGAGCAAGACATGACTCTGCCCGCCTCGGTAGCCTTCCGTTCCATAGGCTACAAGTCGGCCGCCCTCCTAGGTTTATCCGACATCGGTGTCCTCTTCGACTCCAAGCTCGGTGTCATCCCCAACGACGCGTATGGACGCGTAATGTCTCCCTCGTTGGGACCTGGAAACCTATCGGCGGGACATGTACCAGGGTTGTATTGCGCTGGGTGGGTGAAGCGCGGACCGACGGGCGTGATTGCGAGTACCATGAAAGATGCGTTTACGACTGCCGACGTGGTTGTTCAGGATTGGGCCGAGGAGGTGCCGTTTCTGGGACACGAAGAAGGAGCCAAGGGGGAGAGAAGGGGATGGGATGCATTGAGGGAGAAGGTAGAAAGTAGGGGCGTGAGGCCTGTGGGGTGGAAGGAGTGGCATGTCATTGATAAGGTGGAAAAGGAGAGGGGAGCCGCAAAGGGGAAGCCGAGGGAGAAGTTTGGGACTGTGGAAGAGATGTTAGAGGTTCTGGATCGGTGAGGGTGAGTGCTTGTTCGCCTGGAGTCTAAGGAATAGAGGATGGTGCTCATCGGACAGGAAGTTTTATTATCATAAGCATGTATAGAAGGAACTCCATTCGAGCGATTAGATCAATCAGCGGAATTTAGACAATCAATTCATACCATGAGACCCAAGTGAAAGCTGTCGACTGTGGTAGCGTGTAGCACATATCAATGTAGAAATCCTTCACAGTCTTTGACCGTCCTACCAACGCCCCCATGCACCCTATTTCATAAAAGAAAGACATGTCACATTCAATTCCGAGAAAACCACATTCATCATTTCATTCACCGTTGTGCCTAAGGCCACTATCCCGCCAAGACCCCACCCACGTCTTCGCGGCCCTGCCACCCCCACCAAAGCCCCCCCGACCCGATTCCACCTGCACGCCGTTCGAATTTCGGTCCCGTTTTGTGGGTTCGCCACCAGAGAGCCGCCATTTTCTGTCGCTCTTTAACCCTACAACTTCGGCGTAGACTTCTTCCGGCCGGGCATTAGTTGTTTGCAGATAACTGCGGCGAAGCTTCTCACGAGTTGGGTGCCTGGTTCTTCATTTCCTCTTATTATCCCGTACACAGTTATTACCCACCACCTCCACCTCCACCACCACCATGCCGCCAAAGAAGAAGGGCTCCAAGAAAGCCCAGCAAGACGACTGGGAAGCCGAACTGGGCGAATCCATCCCAGCCGCGCAATCCAACGACGCCCCCGCCGCAGACTCTCCCGCCGCCGCCGCCGACGAATCCCCCGCACCCGCATCCGCACCCGCAGACGACGATGCCCTGGGCGGCGGCCTGATGGCCGCGCTGCAGCGCCGCACCAAGAACAAGAAGAACAAGAAGGGGGCGAACAACGATTTCGTCGAGGGGGAAGACGCCACTGCTGCCGCTGCTGCGGAGGATCTGGCGAGTAAGGCGCCGCAGGAAGGGAGCTTCGAGGACGACGACGATGTGTTTGCGGGGAATTACGGGAAGAAGAAGGGGAAGGGGCAGGAGAAGAAGCAGGAGGAGGAGAAGCAGCCGGCTTCCCAGGCGCAGGCGGATGGGCCGAGGGTGAAGACGAAGGCGGAGAAGGAGAAGGAGAAGAAGGAGAGGGAGAAACAGCGGAAGAAGGAGCAGGTATGTGACAATATTCTCTAATAAGACTGTGAGAGGTCTTGCGCTAATACAATTGTCAGGCGGCCAAGAAGAAGGCAACTGCTCCTGCGAAGACCGAAGCTCCAAAGGCAGAGGAGAAGGCAGCTCCCGCCGCAACCCCAGCGCCGGCCGCTGAGCCCGCCCCCGCTGCTGCCGGAGGCAAGAAGAAGAAGCTCAATCCTGTGCTGCTGGCGCTGCAGAAACAGCAGGAGGAGCGACGAAGGCGGGAAGAGGAACTGGCGCGATTGGAGGCCGAGGAGAAGGCGAGGATTGAAGAGGAGGAGCGACGAGAGGCCGAGGAGCAGAAGCGGAGAGAGGAGGCCAGAGCACTCAAGAAGCAGAGGGAAAAGGAGAAGATTGAGCAGCTGAAGAAGGAGGGCAAGTTTCTGACCAAGGCGCAGAAGGAGGCCAAGGCAAGGGCTGAGCTCCGGATGAAGCAGATGCTGGAAAGTGGCGGAGCCAAGGTTTTGGGCTTGGAGGAGCCGGTAGAGAAGAAGAAGCCCGTGTACGATGATCGGAAGAAGAAGCGGAACAATAAAGCCCAGGAGCAGAAGGAAGCCGAAGCTGCGAAGGAGGCGGAAGAGGCGGCGAGGAAGCTGGAAGAGCTGCGGATAGCTGAGGAGCAGGCTGCTGCTGCCGAAGCTGCAGCTCAGAAAGCCAAGGAGGAAGCTCTTGCGAAGAAGGCGGAGGAGACCGACAGTGGGGATGACTGGGAGGCACAAGCGGACCAGATGGAAGGCGTCAAGGACAGCTGGGACGCGGAGACAGACGAGGAGGAGGAAGCGAAGCCGAAGGAGAAGCCGGCTGCCAAACCCGAAGCGAAGCCTGCAGCCAAACCAGAAGCCGAAGCCACATCTACGCCTGCGGCGAACGGAAAGCCTGCTGCTAAGAAGCCCGCAGAGCCCGAGTCGGAATCCGAGAGTGAGAGCGAGGAAGAGTCATCAGAAGATGAGGAGCGCACAGCAACGCAGAGGGCAGAGGCAGCGCGAAAGGCTGCGGCGGCCGAGAGGCGCAAGAAGCAGCACGAGGAAGCTCTGGCTGCACGGTCAAAGGATAACCTCCGTTCACCCATTTGCTGTATTCTCGGCCACGTCGATACCGGAAAGACGAAGCTGCTCGACAAGATCCGTTCAACCAATGTCCAGGAAGGCGAAGCTGGTGGTATCACGCAGCAGATTGGCGCTACCTACTTCCCTGTCGAGGCGCTTCAGAAGAAGACGGCGGTCGTCAACAAGGACGGCAGCTTCAAGTTCAACGTCCCTGGTCTGCTGGTCATCGATACGCCCGGTCACGAGTCCTTCACTAACTTGCGGTCCCGCGGCTCGTCTCTCTGTAACATCGCCATTCTCGTCGTCGACATTGTGCACGGTCTCGAGCCCCAGACTCTCGAATCAATGAGGTTGCTGCGCGAGAGGAAGACTCCCTTCATCGTTGCGCTCAACAAAATCGATCGTCTGTACGGCTGGTCGCGCATCGACAACAATGGCTTCGAGGACAGCCTGGCGTTCCAGAAGAAGTCAACGCAGGCCGAGTTCGAGGAGCGCTGGAAGTTCGTCCACACGCAGCTCATGGAGCAGGGCTTCAACTCGGAGCTCTTCTACAAGAACAAGAACATGGCACGATATGTCTCTGTTGTTCCGACTTCGGCACATACCGGCGAAGGTATCCCGGATATGCTGAAGCTTATCGTTAAGCTGACGCAGGAGCGTATGACGTCCAACCTCATGTACCTCTCCGAAGTGGAGTGCACGGTGCTCGAAGTCAAGGTCGTCGAAGGCCTCGGTACGACCATCGATGTGATCCTATCCAATGGTGTGCTTCACGAAGGAGATCGAATAGTGCTATGCGGTAACCCGGAACCCATAGCCACGAACATTCGCGCCCTCCTAACCCCGGCTGAAATGAAGGAACTTCGCGTCAAATCCCAATACGTGCACAACAAGGAAGTCAAAGCCGCCATGGGTATCAAGATCGCGGCTGACGGTCTCGACACTGCGATTGCCGGCTCCCGCCTTCTGGTGGTTGGCAAGGACGACGACGAGGAAGATCTCATGGACGAAGTCATGGGCGACCTCGCGCACCTGCTCAGCAAAGTCTCGAAGACGGGTCGCGGTGTCTCCGTGCAAGCATCTACCCTGGGCTCGCTCGAAGCCCTGCTCGAGTTCCTGCGCGTCTCCAAGATCCCCGTCGCGACCATCTCCATCGGCCCCGTCTTCAAGAAGGACGTGCTGCGCTGCGGTGTCATGTTGGAGAAAGCGAAAGAGTACGCCGTGATGCTGTGCTTCGACGTCAAGGTCGACAAGGAGGCGCGGCAGTACGCCGACGAGATTGGCGTCAAGATCTTCGAGGCCGACATCATCTACCACCTGTTCGACAAGTTCACGGCGCACATGAAGGCGCTCGAGGAGCAGCGCAAGGAGGACAGCAAGATGTTGGCTGTGTTCCCCTGCGTGCTCAAACCGGTGGCCGTGTTCAATAAGAAGGATCCCATTGTTATTGGCGTGGATGTCGTGGATGGGAATTTGAAGCTCACGACGCCGATTGCGTGTATTAAGCGGAATCCCGTCACGGGAACCAAGGAGATTTTGCAGTTGGGTAGAGTGTGAGTTCCCCTTTTCCCCTTTTCTCTCCTTTTCTTTTTCTTTTTCCCCCCATCGTCCCACCATTGTCGTGAGAAGAGTACCAGAAGCTAATACGCGCGAACACAGAACGTCGATCGAGCGCGACCACAAACAGATACCCATCTGCAAAAAGGGCCAGCCGTCCGTGGCCATCAAGATCGAGGGGCCCAACCAGCCCATGTACGGCCGCCATCTGGAGGAGAAGGATATGCTGTTCAGCGCCATCAGCCGGAAGAGCATCGATACGCTCAAGGAATTTTTCAGAAACGACGTCAGTCAGGATGAGTGGAAGTTGATTGTCAAGTTGAAGGGGGAGTTTGATATCAATTAGGGCGGTGGGGTTGGGGAGAGGGGGCTTGGGTTTTGAGTTGCGGGATGGGGATGGGGAGCAGGGTTGAGTAGAGAGAGGGAGGGGTGGAGTTCGCGGGGGATTTGGGGAGAGCAAGGGGAAGGGATGTTGTGCATGGGTGTGGTGTTTTTATATCTAGCTTACTCGTCTTCTATTTTCTGTTGGTTTTGTTTTTGGTGGTGGGGAAAAGGGCGGAGGGGGTGCGGCATTTCCATTCACATTTCTGGCGGACAGGCAGATGTTAGGTATAGGCGAAAAAATAGATCTTCGTTCAAAAGTACGTGGTATGTGGTATTGGTGGCTTCTTTTTATCGCTTCTATTGGCTGTTGTACACACAGACGTCTGTTATCGACAGTAGTCGTTTGTTTAGATTGAGAACCCTCTATCTATGTCCATGTCCATAGGTTCGTATAGATGAAGGGGGAAAGAGATATAATACCTTAGAAAAGTATCCTATGACAAGTAAGTCCTACCTTCCTTGGGGTTAACATTATCGCCCTACGGCTATAGATAGATAGACAGACAGACAAGACAAACAATTTACTCGCATCCAGGTCGTAGAAATCTACTTCCTCGCTTTTCCAGCGCGTAAAGGGGAAAACGGAAGGCCCTCATAGCTAATCAAATCGCTCCGTCCGTTTGGCATACTCCTTCCCCTAGGCATAATCGCAATTTATCTTTCTTCTATTCAAGGGCCGCAAGAAAGGAGTCAAATAGTCTTCCCTCCTATTCCCCCCACCCGCTCACCTATATCAGTCCATCCGTAGAACAAATAGGGGTAAGAAGAAACAGCTGCTGTACTGGATATCTCCACCCACACAAATCTCCCCTTCTCTTCGAATCTTCTCCGAAAAACAGAGAACTGCGCGTGTTGACCTTACAGGGAGACATGGAAACATGAAGACACCATACAAAATCATTACTACATCTCCCATTCTCGCACTACTTGATTACCAGTTCCCTTCCCTCTCCATCCATCCCCCTTCGCTCTGACTCTGTCTGCTCCACTCCACCTTCCCTGCCTCAATCAACAACAAATGCCATGCGATGATGTATGCCATGCCCCCCAATCGCCATCCCACCCGCCGTATGAAACCCAAAATGAAGAAAAATCAAGGAACAAAAAAACCCAACAACACATGAACCCAGTACGACCACGCCCGTTCAACTCTGAAAAAAAACCAGAAGGAAGCAAGCACCGCGACGCTCGCAAGCGACCCCGCTATTAAATACTGATTAAATACTGTTTATATATGCAAGATGAATCCCTGGTAGCTCAAATCATCGAACCCAACCAATGAACCCGAGTGACGATAACCAACTCGAACAGAGAGAGGAAATACGTGTCAATGGAGATCCCCACAACGCTGCAACTTTTTCGAAATTATCGGATGCATATCCTCGTAAATAAATGAAACAGATCAGTACCGTCGTGCGGGAAGCGCTCAACGGAAGTCGCCACTCATGATGAGGCTCTCCACCGCGCTTCCGATAAACTGCTTCTTCAGCGTGAGATCCATTCCGAATCTACCAAATCAGTTAGCCGCACGTCACAAAGAGGCAGGAGCCCGAAGGCGACAGAGCACTCACCTCTTCTCCAGCTCAATCTTGACCGCCTTCTTAGTGATGGTCATGAGATCCGACTCGCTGAGGATATTCCGTATCTCCGCCAACAGCTGATCGTCGGATGGCAGATTTAAGTTCGCCATCTCCAGATTATCGTAAGAGCCGTACCCGCTAGGCGCCAGGCTCATGCGAGAATTGTTGCCAAAGCGCGGGAGATCCAGATGCGACATGGGCCTCGACGGTGGGTAATGCCCGTACTCGGAGCCTGCCACAGAGGCGGAGCCCATGAAGTGCTTGGTTCCATAGGAGACGCCGGAGATCTCGGAGCGGACGTCCGAGCGATCGTCGGGCAGGGTGCGGATGTCCAATAACTCGTTCTGGTAGGTGGCCCAATGTTTCTTGGGGATGCTGTTGGGATCGAAAGTACCCTCGTCGGAAAGGACGGCCTTCTTGCCATTCTCGCCGGTCACGATTCGCGTGTTGCCCCACGAGAAATCATCCATATGCCAGAAGGCATAAAGGGGCAGGGCGAAGGAGAAGACAGGTGTCGCAATGAGATAGATGAGCATCCATCCGATCATCTCCCACTTACGGCGCAGAATAAAGACGATGGCTTGAAGCCCATAGATGGCTCCAAGGAGGATAAAAGCTGTAATCGGGACGATCTCCTGCTGATATGCCAGGATATAGATAAGGTAGCCAATGTAAACCACAATGACGGGCGCCACAACCGTAGAGAGGAGATCCAGGAAAACAACAAAGCGCATACTGAAACAGCAGAAGCCACAAAGCTGCTGCAGCGGCATCAGCTCGACGAGGTTATGCACTGTAGAGTTGATCCAGCGGCGACGCTGCGACATGAAGACTTTCCAGCTGTCAGGCGCCACCGTCTGCGCATGGGCACGGAAAAGGTACTTGGTCTTGAACCTGGGGTGGTACTTCAGCAGCAATGTGGTCAAGAATCGATCCTCTCCCAGATGAAGCAGGTTTTTCATGTGCAGAGTGTCGACCCGGATCCTGGAATATTCTTGCACCACTTCCTTGCTGACGAAAAGCGGTTTACCGCCCTCTTCTCGGATGCGGTACATGGTGAAGCAGCCGGGCAAACACGTCACGGACCCGAACAAGCTCTCGAAGGCCTTTGTCAGGTTGTGGGATATGTAGTACTCGTACACCTGCATCATGGTAACAAACGACGACTTCGCGTTTGTGAGGGCCGTTTCACCACAGACGCCGATGAGGCGATTGTCCAGGCGGAACGCTGCGACGAATCGTGAAGCGGAGTCCGGAGCGACGACAGTGTCGGCATCGATTTGCAGGAGGAACTCGTAAAACTGGGGATTGACACCGATGATGTTGCGAATGTGATGATACATCTCGAGTTCGAGCGGGCTCATCGGGAGATTGTACAGAACCCGGCTGAGGAACCTCATGATGAGCACCTGGGTATCTCGTTTGCCGCGGTTACCGGGCTTTGCGACTTCGGACGGCTTCCCCACCTTCACGATCACTAGGTACGGAACGATGTGACCTTGGCATTCGTAGAGCCCAGAGTACACTTTGCCCATGTTGTGCTGTTTAAGGCCTTCTCCCAAACTTTCGAAGCTGAGCGGTTCGGCATTGTCCGCGGTCCCATCTGGGTTCAGGATATCGAGCACGATATTCGGCGTGGGTTTGTCGTTTCCTTGACCAATGATCATACCGTCACAGATGACGACCAGCAGTTTACGCTTGTCCTCATACTTCATGGTGGCGGCTGAATCGATGGCACGTCGGAGAGATTCCTCGTCCTCCGTATAAGCAGGGACGGTGCAGATGATGAACTTGTCAAGGTCCTCTGGGATGTTCTTCTTGCCGAATTGGAGCGCAGAAATGAACTTGGCCAGGATAACGCTGCACATGAGAATGGAGATGGACAGCAGGAAGTACTTTGCGAAGAGACACCTGGCCGAACTACGCGTGTCAACGTCGCCCACGTAGAAGAGATTGTCTAAGCACTGCTGCATGCTTTTTCTCGTCTTGGAATCCAGTTTCAACGCCTCCCAGTACTTGCTGATATCGTTACCAGCCTGCACTCGGAAAATTTCGACAACATCTTTATGCATGAAGTCAGGATCCGCTGGCATATCCGGTCCCGGCTCTCCGTTGAGTTTTTCCTTGACTTCACGACCACCAGGTATGTATTCGGTGAAATCGTACACCTTGCCGTACATGTACGCAATGGCATGGTTCTTCTTGGTGGCCAGAGTCTTGAGGTACTGGGGACTGTATCCTACCCGGCCTTTCATGTAGTTCGATTTCAAGAACATCTGTTGCTCGTACCACCAATCCGGACGGGAGTCATTGTAGAACCATCGGAAGTCGTGATACCGGGCGTTCTTGTCCGTCGTGCTGATCAAGTTGGTCTGGTCCGTATAGTTGGAGGTCCTGTAGTTGAGCTGCACGCCCGGGTGTATACCGCTGTCACCAACACCATTGCACAGAGCGCTGACCTGAACGGGAAACAGGTTGGTCGCATCCTTACCAGCATACCTTTCCAGCTGCTGGCGAGGAACGATTGACGGATAATGGGCCGGAATGTACTTGCCAAGGTCGTACACGATACCGCGCATAGCGACATAAGCAGGACGACCGTCCTTGGCATCATAGTGCGAGAGCTCGGCGGGGGAGTAGACATGCTGCGTGGGGCATATGACGGCAGGAAAGCCAACTGAGCAGGGTGAGCTATTGCTTGGGGATCAAGATCCTTTTCGACTTACTCATGAGGAAGATGAAGAAGCCGCAGGTCAGCCAGATGAGCATGTTGATAGCCAGCTTCTCGCGCCATGCAGTCCGCACATCCTGCCGCTTCATCCTTCCAAACCATTCTATGAACTTGTCGGGAATCCACCAGGTAAGTAGGTAGACGAGGAAGAGCCAACGTTTGCGGCTGGCTTTGGTTTCTTGTTCATCGATCTTCTCGAGACCCTTCCGTCCAGTTTTCTCACTAACCAGTTCCGCCTTTTCCACCCCTTGAAACATGTCGCCGCCCGAAGCAGCTTCGGACGGAGCATCCATATAGCTGCGGCGTTTGTCATCGCTGTAGGGGGAGGGGTCAAGCAGACCCCTTCTGGGATCGGCAGTGAAAGAACGGGCGGCCTCAGGCGAGAGGAGGTTGTCCTCGGAAGCCGACACCCCCACGGGTAAGGGGGGAATGTCGGCGATGTTGGCAATCTCCAACCAGCGATTCTCGCTCAGGAAGACGCCGGTCGCGCCAAGGCGGACCTCGTTGTCTCGCCAGGGTTTGTTACGCAGAACCATCTCGGCCTTTTCCTTCTCACTCCCTACGAGGTCGATTTCGGGGGCAGCCAAGCCGAGGAACTGCCCATACGGAAGAAATACGCTGACATCGGCGACGCGGAGGCGTTTGCTGATCTCGGCGATGCCCATGGTTTGCACCTGCGTGCGGACGCACTTGGTGTCGAACTGGTTGGCAATGCGCCGGTCGTTCGGTTTGAGGCAGAAGACGAAGTACGCGTTGGCCTTGCATAGGGCAGACTCGAGAATCTTCAGGGCGCTGACGACCTGGGCCGCCGCGCCGGTGCCTTTCCGGTTCCCACCGCCCTTCTTTCCGCCGGACACAGTGCTATCAGCATCGCTCATGGCGTCCTCCTCGAAGGGGCCGCGTTGACGGCCAGCACGGCCCGTCGTGGTCGGTTTGCGCCTCGCAACGCTCGGGGTCCTCATGGGCTTGGAGCTGACGGACGCTTCCATGATGGCTGTCCTCTCCTTGGGATGAGTGACCTTGTTCAACGCCTCCTGGCCCAGCAGTTGGTTTACACACGTGTTACGTGAGCTTTGGAGGAGGGCGACCATATCGGCTGAGACGATGTCACGGTTTTCCTCGAGCAGGCCTTCGACCGGATAGTCGACGTCCATGGCGTAGTGGCGGATGGTGAAGGACGCCGACGGATTTGGGGTTGCAAAGTTGCTTCCTGGTTGTTTCACCATCAAGCTACCGGGGACGATGGCATCGTTCTTTCCATCAAAGCGCTTGCGGATTGCTTCGAGGAACTGGTGGTCGGTCTTCTCGCGACGCGCCTGATCGTCCAAGATGGCTAGCAGGCCGTTCCCGGACCTCAGCAGGCCGACCTTTGCGTTATTGTTGTCGAAGTATTCCATTTCGGGGATGGCAATCTCCTCGGCTTCCATCTCCTGGATCTGTCGGTTGAAGAAGCTCTGCTGGCAAAAGTTGAAGAGGGCTTCATTGGCAGAATTGATCAGGAGCTGATCGAGAACGGAGCCGGTGGTGGACGTATAAGCGAATCCGGGGAAGTCGACCACGGAAATGGTGTTGACTACCTGATCGGGCAGTTGGGAGAGCTCCTTGTTCAGGCGCTCCATGACATAGGCAAGCAGCAGCGAATACAGGGCACGTGCAAGCTCGTCTGCTTTAGCACGAGCACCGCGTGGATCCAGAATGACCGTGTATCGAGTGTTGCCTGCGTGCGCCGTCTTGTACTGGAAGCACTGCTCCAGCTCATCCATATTCACGGCCAGGACGGCAGCCAAGGCAACCAACGACTCTCGGTTCTTGACGAGTGTGACCGACTCGCCACCTTCGTGCGAGTAACCGCCGCTGTCGTCTGCAGCCGGAGTGGTCTTTTGGCCGGTCTCGAATTCCAGCTGGCCAAGATGGAGGATGGCGGCGAGGACGGTGCAGATGCCGCCTATGTCTCCGCTGGAGAAGTGCAGCCTCCTGAAGGCTGCCTTGCACTCTTCGAAGCCGCGTCTATCATCGATGGCGAGCTTGAGCATTGTTGGATGGCCCAGGTACCGCCATCGCTTTCGGGCTCCTACGGACGTTCTGGTTCCAGCGGCCTCGGATGCGATCGAGTCGAGGTGGAGATGGGCCTTCTCTGACGGGCTTAGACCGCTCAACATGTGATAGAAGATGTGATAGTTGCGTTCTCCCGTGGGAACGGATGCTATCCTGCTTCTTTCATGGCGATGTGCGATGAACTGGGCGCCGAGGAGGGTAGCGTAGTTGTTGGCAGTCTCATACTGGAGCTCCAACATGAGGCCAGCCTTGGAGGCCGTGGGACTGGTGGTTGTGTTGGTGGTGGTGAAGGCGTCGAAGATAAAGTTTGCGGATTCGATCATCTTGGACAAGGGGGTAGCGGAATGGGAAAGAAGGGCTTTCAGCAAATGGCCGCGAAGGGTCGTCTTTCCAGAGCCGGATTCACCAAGAAAGACGACAGCCTGGTCCTCGGACCGGTGGCCCATACGGGTGTAGACACGCTGGGCGAGGTCCTCGACGGCCTGTTGGGCGCTCCCATCTTTCCCGCCATCGGGACCCTGGCTGGCGTCTTTGTAGGTGTTGAGCGAAACGATGCCCTGGCAGCCTAGAGACGAAACGGCAAGCTTCTGGTGGAAGCGGCTGCCTAGGTGTGCTGTTATGTGTTCATCGGTCTGCTGGTGCTGGGGCAGGGCAGGGAGGGAGGGCTGGTTGTGGTGGGCCGAACCAGCGAAGGCAGAGCTGGCCATGGTAGGCGGGACGCGTCCCAATGCGGGAGCGCTGAGCGAGAGGAGACGTTCAGAAGACGTTCAGCGAGTCGAGAGACGGGCGTTTCCAGGCGATGTCTTCTCGGAGGGCAATGCTACGAAGAAGGGGTGTTTTGGGGTGTGGAATGCAGGTTCGTCCAGGGGAACAAACAGCGACTGGCGGAGGTGGGCAGGACGGCAGCGAGCGTCAGCCTACAAAGGGACCAAAATCTATGCAAACGAGAGAAATAAGGGCATTAGACTCTGAAAAGCGAAGGAGACAAAACGAAGGGCACGACGAGTGCGTCTGGGAGGGAGGCGTGTTGTTGAGGTTGTTAAGATGGAAGTGCAAAGGCCTGCCGCCATCAGCAGGCCAGCCCAGCCAAGCTTGGACACAGTCCGCCAAAATGCAATGGCTGCTGGCCGGGTCCACACCAGCGGGGGACCTGGCCAATGGAGGGCAAGGCAGGGATCGAAAAGGGGCTCGAAAATAGAAATAGATTACGCTAGGTTACGCTGATACCTCGATACCTTGATTACTTTGCTTAGGGCCCCTGTCATGAACTTCATCGACACGCCACCGTCTTCTTCAAGCCTTTGCCCCAGCTGGGCAGCCATGGCATCGACTTTGTTCGATGTGTTTCGATCATTGTCCAACCAGCCTGTCCAGCTTTCATCGGGTGGTTTGCCAGTTTGGTGGCTATGCTCAATGCCCCAGGAGGGTGGTGGTGGTGGAACGCTGCGCAGCAACCCAGCCCAGAGAATCGTTCGAGGCACAAAAGCTGCAAAGGTGTCAGGTGGACAGTACTCAGTATGTAGTCTAGTAGTGGATACAGTGGCCAGAGAACCCGAGCCAAGCTGCAACGGCGTCGAAAAGTTGGTGCATGAGAACGGCTGTCCTGCACGCCTGCCTGGTAGCTGTCTTCCTTTTCTTTGAATGCCTCGGAGCGCTCCAAGGCTTGCAGCATTGACCGTCCGCTTCCAACTCGCATGCGTATCTGCACCTTCTTCTTCCCATGATGGCTCCCGTCCAGAATATTTGCGGCACCATATGGATTAAAATTCATCACAGTACGGTTGACTGTGTGCTGTGGTAGGTGCACCGTACTGGTAAACTCATCCATGGATGTCATCATCAGGCCGGCAGTGAAAATCGACCGTTACCTAAAAATAGCCTCTGCCCCAATCCCCAATGCCGCCAGCGTGGAAGACTTCGGATCGGGCCTTTCCTCTTCCAGGCACTGCCATACTGTAAAATACCACCAAACCGCCACTAAGCCTTCCGGCGCCTTACCCCATTGGGCTACTTTAACAGGCCAAGGCCCTGCAGCTCGTTTCTCCTCCGACGGCCCTCTGGCAAGGAATGGAGAATAGCCAGCGTCCACCACAACATCCTCTCCTCACTCGCTCGCCCGTCTTCCTCCCACAATCCTCGCCGTCGCTCGAGTGCTTGATTCCTTCGCTTCGTACTGTCGTTTAATAGCATCCTTCCATCGTTTGCCTTCTGTATCTCCATTGCGCCTGCGAAAGGGGTCATCACCCCGTCAACCTTCGTCCATCACCATCCTTCGAGACGAGCAGCCTCTCGTTACACCCTACCCTCGCTTTTCCTCACTTTTCGTCCCGTCTGCCGTTGACCTCCTGCACCTGCCCACGCGAGCCACGGCTACCCGTGCTGCTGGACCGCCATCGTGCCTCCACCGACCGCCAACATGAGTTTCGTCAACGATTCTCGCATGTCCATATATTCGACCGTCTCAGCCGCCGGCCCACGTCCTGGCAATCCCTCCGCCCAGGTGTCGACTACCACCCTTCTCAATGCTCTCCACACCTCCTTCTCCCAGGGCTCACCCTACCCTCTGGAAGCCAGCACCAGTCTGGTTGTGAACACATGGGCCAACGCCCGCAGCATGGTCAATGGCCGGCTTGGGGGCACCGTTGACATGGAACTAGGCCGCAAGGCCTGGGAGCACGCTCGCCGTCGTGCTGAAGATGGTTGCGTGGTTCTTGCGTGAGTCTTGCTAACCTGGCTGCAACGCCCAAGTCGCCTCATGCTGACCCCTTAACAGTTCTCTGCACGAATCATCCCCTTCCCTGTTCTCCCCCTTCATCTCAGGCCTCCCACTCTCCATCCCCGCGAGCTTATACACCGCACTGGAGGTTGTCAAAGCCTTCACACATTGCGTAACTCCTCAGAATCCCTCGTACCCCAGATACTCGGCCCTCTCCGCCGTCTTCACCATCAACCTCAAGGGTGACTTACTCGGAGCCGAAATCAAGTTGTCCAACTCCGGAATAGACACAAAACAGGGCCTTCTGGATATTCCTGCCCAAGCAGGATTTCGGGCTTTTGACGTCTTCTACTACCTCAATTCGTCATCCGCCACCAAAACAGAACGAGAGTGGTTGAATCTGGAGCACCCTTCAGCGTATGCCCTGCTTAACAGGTCCGGGACATCTGATCCCCCGTCTTACCTCCCCGATGCCGATGACGGCGCTGCGGCCGAGGACTTCCGCGCCAATCTCAAAGCCATCGGTATCAAGGGCGCAAAATTGCAGAATCTCATCAGTGCCTTGACGGGCCTACTGAAGCTGGGCAACACCATTGGCTACCTCATCGATGACGATGTGCTTGAGTCCACCTGCAGAGATTGTGGTATCCTGCTCGACGTTGATCCCGAGATTCTCAGGCTCAAACTCAGTACGCAGGAGCGTGCCATCGCGATTGGTGGCATCTACGAAGCCATCGTCGACATGGTCATAGGCCAGGCGAATACCGCTATCCGCGAAGATATCTGGGCAACCAGAGCAGGCCATTCTTCCAGCAATAGTGACGTAGGGAGGCTGACGCCGCCTTCGGATGAAGTGGAAGAGGACATTGTCAACATCACCGTAGTCGAGATCCCGAACCGGGCGCTGGGCAAGGCCGTCGCCCTCAAGACTGTCTTCGATGACCGTGACGGTATCAACGCCGAGATGAAAGAAGACGGGGTCCAGTTCGCTCCGGCAGGTGCGTCGGTACTGGAGACTATGAAGGAAGCGGTGGCGGGTTGTGAGCATGAGCTTGGTATAGAGGGGCCCGCTCTTCGTGAGCACGAGGCGGAGCTGGAGAAGCGCGAGGCCGTCTTGGAAAAGCTGGCTCTGGAGATCCCAGAACAGGAGAACACGCTGAAAGAGATCCTCATGCCAGTGGCGGGCGAAGGCATCGTTCTCGGCAAGCACGGTCGTTTCAATCTCCCCTTGACCATCGCCAGTAGCAGGGTCTGGTTCCACCTCTCTCTCCACCCCACAGACGGTTCGCCCGCTACCATCTCTCAAGACTACGTTAGGTCGTGGAACCCGGCGACCGTTTCTCGACAGCTCAGAGACTTCAGGATTCCGGAATGGGCGAACCGCCGAAACCGGAGCTTGGACTTCACTGCTGACTTTGATCATGCCGAGTTCTATGACCGCTATCATCTCTTGGGCTGCATGGAAGGCAAGGATGGCATTCACAACTTTATCCTCGAGCGTGGTTGGAGCAACGGTGAGGTGGTTGTCGGGCACCAGCGCGTCTGGATGCGCGAAGGCACCTGGTGGGAGGCTGAATCGCAGCTGGATCTCAAAGCGCAGGTCGAATCGCCCACGGTTCCCGGCAACATGCTTGCTATGGGTGGCTTCGAGACCAACTACTCAACACAACCCAGTGGCCTCTTCCCGCCACCGCTACCGGCCGCCACTCCGACAGGTAGCGAGACGAACCTGCCCCAACAACACAGTTCGGCCACGCTTGGAAACCAGAGCGTTGCTGGAGCCAGGTCTATTGCTACTTCTGCGGCACCGATCTTAAACCAGGGAGACTACGGGTTGGGACGTAAAGGTGACGAGAACAAGGGCATCACATACTATGATGAAGAATCTGGCGGAAATACGCAGATTACCGAAACGCCAGTACCCCTTGCTAGGCGACTCTGGGTGGCTCTCGTGTACGCCGCCACCTTCTGGGCCCCTTCGCCCTTGATGAGGCTTTTCAAGATGAAACGTCCCGACGTCAGGCTTGCATGGCGTGAGAAGGTCACTCTTTGCTTGTTGATCCTTCTCCTGAACGCCTGTGTTCTTTTCTACTTCATCTGGCTCGGCAAGCTCCTCTGCCCGAACAAGAACAACGCGTGGAGTGCAACGCAGGTTTCGAACCATCAAGGTGACAAAGACTTCTTCGTCAGTCATCATGGCGTCGTGTACGACATCTCCGATTTCTGGCAACGGCAACACAGCGACACGAAGATCAAAACCACAAAGGAAAATATGCAGCCATTCGCCGGCGCCAACATGGACCCTTATATTATGCCTCCTCTCTACATTGCGTGCCCTGGCCTCGTATCGGATACGCGTCTCCAACTTATACCCAACACCACCGTCCAGGATACCACTGCCATGCACATTTCTGGACCCGCCAACGTGTATCCGGACAGCGCGCTCGCCAATGAAAACTGGTATGACAAGAAGTTTCTGAAGAAGATGAAAGAGTTCCGCAAGGGAGACTTGGTGTGGGACAAGAAGGTGATTATGGACGAGGGCAAAAACTTGCAACACATGTGGTTCACCATGGGAGACCGAGTGTACGATCTGACGGATTATTTTCATACACTCGACGTGATGGATGGCCGGGCTCCTTACAACTTCTTTAGCGAGGATTTTGAAAAAATGGTCCGAAACTATGCCGGCGAAGACCTGACGGAAAAGTTCAATAATGCACTGGAGAGGAACGCAACCGCGTGGAAGGATCATACTCGGTGTTTGAACAACATGTTTTACATCGGAAAGACGGACTTCCGCAAGACTCCGCGGTGTACGGTCAACGATTGGCTGTTGCTATCCTTCACCATCATCATCTGCGCGGTCATCGTCATCAAGTTCGTGTCTGCTCTGCAACTCGGTGGGAAGAAGCGTCCCCTGCCCCAGGACAAGTTTGTCATCTGCCAGATACCGGCGTACACGGAAGGTGAAGACCAGCTGCGCAAGGGACTGGATTCACTGACGGCTCTGGCCTACGACAACAAACGTAAACTTATCTGCGTCGTCTGCGATGGCATGATCGTCGGTGCTGGTAACGACCGGCCTACCCCTAAAATTGTACTCGATATCCTCGGTGTCGATCCGAAATGTGACCCTCCCGCTCTTCCGTTCCGGTCCGTCGGCGAGGGCAGCCAGCAGCTCAATTATGGCAAGGTGTACTCTGGCCTATACGAATATGAAGGCAACGTTGTGCCCTATATCGTCGTCGTCAAGATGGGCAAAGAATCCGAGCAGAGCGGCTCCAAGCCTGGCAATCGTGGCAAACGAGACTCTCAGATCTTGCTGATGAGCTTCCTTAACAGGGTGCACCACCGCGCGCCCATGAATCCGCTAGAGCTGGAAATGTTCCACCAGATCAACAACATCATTGGCGTAGATCCAGAGCTGTACGAGTATCTGCTCATGGTCGACGCCGACACCATGGTGATGCCGGATGCTCTCACTCGCCTCGTTTCTGCTTGCACCAATGATACCACCATTGCTGGCATCTGCGGCGAGACCAGTCTCGAAAATGAAGAACGGTCCTGGTGGACTATGATTCAGGTCTACGAGTACTATATCTCGCACCACCTGTCCAAATGCTTTGAGAGTTTGTTTGGAAGTGTCACCTGTTTACCTGGATGGTAGGTTTTCCGTTCCCGTTAGTACGCAAGATCTCACTAACCGTCCCATCCAGTTTTTGCATGTACCGCCTCCGTACCTCGGATCGCGGTAAGCCACTCATTATTTCGGACAAGATCATCAAGGAGTATGCCGACGGCCACGTCGACACCCTGCACAAGAAGAATCTGCTCTCCCTGGGCGAGGATCGTTACCTGACAACCTTGATGACCAAGCACTTCCCAAACATGCGGTACAAGTTCATCCCATATGCCCATGCTTTAACCGCTGCCCCGGAGACGTTCAGCATCCTACTCTCGCAGAGGCGACGTTGGATCAACTCGACCATTCACAATCTGGCCGAACTCGTCTTCCTTAAAGACTTGTGTGGGTTCTGCTGTTTCAGCATGCGGTTCGTCGTGTTTATCGATCTGTTTGGAACTCTCGTCCTCCCCTCAGTCTGCATCTACCTTGGGTACCTCATCTACCTAGTTGCCTCTAAGTCGGGCCAGTTCCCCTTGATCTCCATCGCCCTGCTTGCTGGTGTCTATGGTCTTCAAGCTCTCATTTTCATCATTAAGAGACAGTGGCAACACATTGGATGGATGATCATCTATATCATCGCTTTCCCCATCTACTCGTTTGCACTTCCCCTCTACTCTTTCTGGAAGCAGGACGACTTCTCCTGGGGCAACACTCGCGTGGTCATCGGTGAAAAGGGAACAAAGAAGGTCGTCACTACTGACAGCGAGGGCTTTGATCCAAAGAGTATTCCGCTCCAAAGATGGAATGACTATGCAGCCGCCAATAATCTACCGGGAATACGGGGCGACGTTGAACTGCCCTCTGAAAAGGGCGGCTTCGGCGCGTATGAAGACGAGGCATTCGAGATGCAGTCGGTCTACTCGTCGGTCAAGCCCGCTTCCACAATCATGTCCAACATGCATCACATCTCGCACATGCCGCCCCAGTCTCCGGGCCCGTACCAAGGCATGCAGGCCAGGCAATCAACCTACTCCAACTTGTCCCGCTATCGTGATAATCCTCTAGCGGATGGGCGCCACATGTCCATGGGCGGAATGAGCGACCACTACACTACCTCTCCCTACAGACAGAGCGGCTTCCAGAGTTCGGACAATCTCATGGCGTCGACGCCGCCCATTCGAGGCCGGAGTCCGCTCGGCTTCCCGTCGCGCCCTGCCAGTACAGCGAACCTGCAGAGCCTGGCGAATGGGCCCAGCAACGCTACCATCATCGAGGTCGTGCAGGCATTGTTGCGTGACGTGGATCTGGACCGCGTGACGAAGAAGCAGCTCGTTGCGCTCGCGGAAACGCGATTGCAGACGCAGCTCACGGGCGAGCGGAGGACGTTCCTCAACCAGACGATTGATACCGAGTTGGCGAATATCTGAATCTGATGAGTGAGATTTGGTTTTGCATAGCAGCGTTTGGATATAGCATGCATGGTATACGCGGGGAGAGAGATGATGTTGCATTTTCGACTCATTTTGGCTTTTCATCAGAGGCGCAAAGGGGTACCGTCATTGGATCATCGAACGTCAACACAATGTAGAAGTCTCGGGTAAGGGAGGCTGATGGGTTTCCATTTCCGATTTTCATGTTTTTGTAGTAATGAGTAATCTGGCTAGCGATTTTTGCAAGGCTTGCTTGCATTTGGGTTTGTTCATGTATACAGGGAAAAGCCGGGTACTTACTACAAGTAGTTTATAATAATGGCTGTTTGAAATCATCGAATGAAGTTCCTTTGTTGTGTCCATTAGATTTTGTACTACCCTCTTTCTTTTTCTCCTTTTCTCTTTCCCGCAGAATGTTGGTGAATCCGCCATGCATCTATGCGGCGTAGTCAGTCCCTCTCTGAGCGTGGGGATGCGTGTCAAACCCACTACACCACCTACCATCACCGTAATCATTTTTATCACGGCTTTCTGATGCGGCGTGGTCGGTATCTCCATTTCTCTTTTTCTCCCGAGACTCACGCCAACCAGTCAACAATCACTCACTCAATCCCGTGTGCAAAAAGCGGGCGAGAAATGTCTCGAACCAAGGAGTGCCACATGCATAACGATACCCGCATCCCCGGAGCCAGCGGCATCGGCGGCAGCAGCGGCATCGGCGGCATCAGCAGCAAAGCACTTTTGAATCCACGGCCCGCGTACGCCTGATTCCGCCGTGCCGTCCAGCGAACGACGAACGCAGTCTCGGACATGGTCGTCAAGGTCCAGGTGAAGGTCAAGGTCAAGATCAACCACCTGAGGATCCTGCATCGCTTCTCCTTGGGGAAAGGGGGAGATACTGGCCGCCAGGCGCAGCAGGAGCAGCAGCAGCCGTCAGGATTCTTCACCCTCCCTCTCGAACTGCGCCTTATGATATACGACTACGCCTTCCCTCCTCCTCGCTCGTCTCCCTCCCCTTCCCCCTCCTGGGATAACACCGCCACAAATCCAAAAGAAATCCACATCATCGTCCTCCCTGGCTCCCATGGCCACCGCATCCTCGCCATTCCCTGCACCGATCCCGTACGCACGTGGGAATGGAACTGCGTCAATATGCGCTGGTCGCCTTGGTTCCACCGGCAGCGCGGCAATGGGCCCGTCATGGGGTGGCATTGCGATTGCATGTATCGGTGGGTGGAGAGGAGGACGGGGGCGTGGGGGCCTTGTGTTGCGAGGATGGTGGAGGCGGTGTGGGATCCGGTTTGGGCGATGGAGAGGGCGCGGAGGATGATGGAGGAGGGGATGGAGGGGGAGGAGGAAAGAGAGGGAAGAAAGGGTGGTATATGGGGAAGAAACAAGGAGGAAGAGACGGAGAAGGAGGGGAAGAAGATCGGAAACTGGATGGGGAAGAAGATGATGACAACAGGGATTGGTGCGACGAGGGTGAGGGCGACAAACCTAGCAACCCTCCTCCGTGTATGCAAAGCCATGCACGACGATGTGGTTCCCCTTGTCTATGGCCAGCGCACGCCTACGATGAGGTTCCACTCGCTGGCTTCGTTGATCTGGTTCAAGGAGAGGGTTTCTGGCGAGGGGTGGAGGTGGGTGAGGGCGTTGCATGTGGATTTGAGGCAGCCGTTTGCGGCGGGCGAGAAGAAGATGCAGGGGAAGCAGAAAGGGAAGAACGGGAAGGGATGTGAGGGGGGAGGGGATACGTTGGGTGCGGCTTTTCCGAGGAAGGTGAGGGAGAGGTATAGGGTGCTGTGTTCAGGATTTTCGGTGGAGGAGCCGGAGCGGGAGGAAGATGAGGAGCAAAAGAAAAAGACTGGGAAGAAGAAAAAGAAGGAAAATCACAAAGCCAGCGGCTGCAATGCCCCCTTGACAAGAAGAAAACGGAGTAGAAATGCAAAGTATCCGACCGAATGGACCGCCGTCTGCGCTCTCCTCTCCACCATGACGGGCCTGCAGAGCCTGCGCATCAGCCTGTCCAGCGCGAGAATGGCGCATACACTGTCCAACGGGGGAGTGGAGCCACTGGCCCGGGATGGCGTTGTTCAGAAAACGCAGGAGAAGCGAGTCTTCGCGCCTTTGGCAGAGGCGGTGGGGAGATTGAGGGAGGGGAAGAGGGAGTTGCAGACTGGGAGGGGGAGTATCTATGGAGCAGAAGAAAAAGAAGAAGAAGCAGAGAGTTTGAGTGTGAAGGTGGATGTCGATTGGGAGCTCCACGACGATGGCGATGACGGCGAGGATTACAATTTGACGGAAGGACTCTTTACAGTGCAAAGAATGGGGTTATGTGATATGGACGCGGGTGAAGAGGCGTTGTGTGAGGCCTGCAGAGAGTTGGAGTGTGCGAGGACGAGGTGGGGAACCAGTGACGGAAGACGTACAGTAGACGATTAAGTTGCAGTCATGAGGATTGGATTACTCCCTCCTGGTAATTCAATCCTACCGCGAGGCCTTCTCATCCTCAATCTGCCTTCTTAGATCAGCAAGCACCTCCAACCGCTTCTCCAAGTGCTTTTCCAAGCCATCCACCTGCTCCCTCACAACCTCAATATCCTCCCTTATGCTCCCCAGCCCCTTTACCGCGCCTCCGTCGCCGCTATCCAATTCCCTCAGCACCCGCCTCTTATAATCCAACAGCAGCTCCAGCTCGCGCTTCACCAGCGCAGGTTTGCTATCCTTGCTCCGCCCATGTCTCCGGTTCTCCGCCTCCTTCTCCACCCGCTCAATCTTCTCCTCCAACTCCCTCAGCTGCTTCTTCAGCCGCACCTCCTCCCAATCCTCCGTCGTGCGCCCTCCAAAATCCGTGCCCTTCCCCCTCGCCCGATCCCCGATCCCCAACCTCGTCAGATACGCCTCCCCAAACCGACTCTTCTTCCCAGCCGCTGTGTCATCTCCGCCCTTCTCCGCCCACCGATTCCGATTCGCCCCCGCACGATCCACATCGAACTCGACATGACCCTTCTCGAAGCTCGCGCGCAGACTCGGCGGCACGCTCCTCGGCACCCTGAACCCCTCGCTCCGCTGATTCAAAATGTGCAGAAACGCCAACGCCGCATCCTTGCCCACGCTCTCGCGCGCCTTGGGATTCACCAGGTTCCACGCGAACCGGATGTCCGAGTCCGGCACGCTGTCCTGCAGGTCGTGGAAAAGGGATTCCAAAGACGCAAAGGTGATGTTGCCGTGCTGGTCGCGGTTGGCGCTGTAGATCTCCTCGTACTTTGCCTTGTCGGCGGGTGACATGTACCAGTCGAAGCCGTCGCGGAGGCCCGGGGTGTCGTCTTCGTCGTCCGAGACGGGTTCGAAGGCGGGCTGGGAGCCCGAGATGGCGCGCGTGGCTTGCACGAGGTGGGCTTTGCTTTCGGGGACGAGCCAGTCCGGGAGCGACGAGGGGACGTCGACGGATTCCTGGAGATACGAAAAGGTAATGGTCAGCTATCTCCGTCCTATCTGTTCCCAGGTCCCATGAAACTCAATGGTAGCATGTGAAAAGGAAAAGGGTAAACATACCCCATTGATCAAATCGAAAATCAACCGCATGGCCACGCAAAACTCCTCAAAATCCAACTTGCCATCCCCATCCACGTCCGCCAGATCCCACACCCGTTCCAGCTGATCGTCCCTCAATTGGCTGTTCTTGAGCACCGGTGCGGCCTGCGCCCCGTCGAGGTGAGTGGCGCCATTGGCCAGGGAGCTGAAGATCTCCCAGTATTTCTCGATTTCTTCTTGCTCGATGCGCCGCGGTGCCATTTTGTGTGTGTGCCGTGGACTGGCGGAGGGATAGGGAAGGAGAGGTGGAGGAATGGGACTGTTGGAGTGGAGTGAGCGGCGGCGGGTGGTTGCTGGCGTCGGTGCAGGGGTGCAAGCTAAACTCATGGCACGGACCCGTGAACGCGCGTGGATAGCTGGGGCGCCTGGCTTGGCAGGTGGATATCTTGGCTATTCACTTCTATACCTCTTACTGTGTACTGTGTGGAGCTGGTACTTACTACTTAGTAGAGCTATAACCAACAAATCTCTCCCCCATCTATAGTGCGGGAGACGCGACCACGGTCTTGCATAATGTTATTAGATGTGTCGAGCGAGATCAGGCAACCCCACGCAGAATACGAATGGGTGTGCCAAAGTAGCATCTCGAATCCAGACTCTCATCAGTCATGAGAGCCTACTGGTAATGGAAAGGCATATACCATCGTAATGAAATGCATAGAATTATGCCTAGCATCAGAAACCCCATTGTTCGCAGTACCAGTTGCCATGAAACACCATCAGAGAGGAGGACCCGAACCGCTGTCCCACACACGATACCAGATGCGTATTTTCGAGCATTCCATGCTCTCGAAAATTCCCGTAACGCCGTACCGTTGCCTCAAACCATTGACCCGATCCATGAACCCACAACCTCTCCATTCACACACCACCAACACCCTTCTCGTCCGCCCCACTATCATACCCCTTATCACCCTTGGCCGGCGCCTCCATCAGCCCAATGGCCCCGCAGACAAGATGCTTCTTATCCTGCTCGTTCCAAGAGGGAATCCTGCCCAGCATACCCAGACTCAGCCCTCTGGGCCTCGCCTTCTCCACCACCTCCGCCTGTCCTGCTCCTACGCCCGTTCTGAGCGGTACGACGCCCTCTCCTGGCGCTGGGAGTGGTACAGTGGCGCCGCTGCCCGTGGTTATCGAATCCATTTCCTCAGCCTGCTGCTTCTGCGACAACTGCTCCAGCGCTGTGGCGTAGGCTGAGTTCGTCCGCCGCATGCCGTGAGGTTGATGGTATGCTTGCTGCGCTTCGTTGCTGCCATGCGCGGAGCTCGTTGGGGCTGCGGAATCGGTTTGGGCGAGGCTGTTTCGGCGCAGGGCTTCTTCGGCTTCGGAGCGCGTGTTGGGTGTTAGGTCTGGGGGAGCGATGTCCGTGAAATCTCCGCCTGTGGGAGGCATGCGGTTGGGTTGTTGTCCGTCCATGATTTCTTTTATTATGATTGAGGGCTGAAGTGAATCGAGGCGGCGGGTGATATGTATGTCGAGTGTCCGATCTCCTGATGGTAAAGAAATGTATGACGTTTCACTGTTTTACACAGTAGACTGAGCTCGTGTCGAATGGATAAGGCCGGGATGGTGTCGACCGTGACGCTAGATATACTGGAACAGTAGGAGAGTGCGGCAGAAAGTTCGTACGATCCAGGCCTAGGGCAGTTCACTCCGTTAGATTAGGGCCTGGGGAACAAAGGTCGCGTGACAAAACGGCCGCCCTTCCCCACAATTGTTGAACGGTAGTGTCAGCGAGGTCAATATTCCGTGCAGACTGTGAAACTCCTTTATATGAAGGATTACTGTCTGTAGCGACTGCTGCAGCAGGCAGTGATGACATACTTGGCCGATGACGTAGGGTCCGTGCACCTTCCGTGAGTTCTGCCACGGTAAGCATCAAGGTGATCAGAGCAAACCCGACATGGGGAGGACGTGTTTAAACTTTACAATGATGGAGTAATCTGTTGAGGATCGTTGTTCTTGAGCATGACGATCGACGGCTCAAACAGCCAACCCCAGCGGGTGAAGCAGACTGACAAAGAATAAGGTTCCAGGGGGGATATGCCATAGTACTGTGTAAGGCCATAGGGTAGGGAGGTGAGGGGCTTGACGTAATTCGAGCATCCGTTCAATGACAGCGGTAACACCCATGATCTTCGTTGCACCTCGGACTTTGTGTAGCCAAGTACTGTTGGCCCATGGGTACCTCTTGCTCTTGATATATTTCTCCATGCTGCTCCGGCCGCCTGCGAGCGTGCGATGCCAGTGCAAACGCGTACATTCCTCACACAAGTAATCCCATGATGCGTTTGAACACGTCTCCAAGTCTATGATCTCCCTGTGGCCCGCCCAGCCAAAAGGCGCAGAGGCCAACTGCAATCGAGATGCACAGAACGCCACTTCGGCGGTGTCTCCACCCATATAGCTTCGCCCTCTTTGCCGTTAGGACGGCTCGGTGGTACATTCGGAATATGCGTACTTCATTTTCCTGACGGCGCAGCAGCTTCTGGGCGTCCGGTAACGCAAATTGCGCGACATCGTATGGCCGTCTTGTCGATTTGAGCACGCTTGCCGACGATACTTTCCACCAAACCAAGCCCAGTTTCTCCGGCGGTACTCTCTCGTAGAGTCTGACCGTCTCCTCTATGCGTCTCTCAAGATCGAAAGGCTCCGGCAGTCTCCCCAGCTCACAAAGAAAGATATCTTCCTCCTCTTTATCGATATCCAGTAGCTGCTCGCGCCTGGCAAGAAGCAAAGACGCAAAGAAGTAGACGGGTATAATGGTGTCGGCCGCGAGAAAGAAATCGAACAAACGAGTAATGTCGGAATATGCATCTATCACGTGCGAGAACAACGTGAGCGTGGCGCCTAGCGCATAATGCGGTTGAATCTTCGGAATGTGGTTGTACAGGACTCGATCTTCAATCTTCAGGATTACGGGCAGTAGCTCTAGGTGGCGGATGGCAGGGTCCAATGACGGGAGCATGTAATCTCGAATACGGAGCAGACTCAAACGTATCGCCGCAGAGGGTGCGCTCTCGGGTCCAAGCACAAGATACAAAACCTGGACAATGTCGTGGTACCCTTGGAAATAGGACAGAGCCGGATATCGGCGCAGAACTTCCACGATCACGTTCGACAATTCCTCTTTCCGCCGATCCAATTGCTTATTGCCTTCTTTCAACGATGTCAGCTCTCGTTTTCTGCTACGGAAAAATGGTCTACCTTTTGGATAGCTCACAAACGCTCGGTTGACATCTTTGGCTACCTGTTCCTCGTCGCGATGGGCGGGAAGGGTATACCATGGAGATATTGTCTGTTGCTTATCATCAGAACACCCCAGCAAGATCGGCCCTGCGGCGGGTAAGCTGAGTGTTAAAGAAAGGGAACGAGTACTAACAAGCTGCTCGTCGCAGTTCATCTTTTACCAATCCATGCGTAGAGGTGGCCAGACGCACCAGTGCGTCGAGATCTCGAGTTGCGCAGGCAGTCGTAATATCATGTTCTTTCGCACACATCACCCCAGTCGACTGTTCTTTTGCATCTAATTGTTCCGCATCTGAGGAGCTTGAGGGGTACAATGAAGGTGTTGAAGCACCAGAAGGCATGGCGTCGCGCGTTTGTGAAACCGGATCTTCCACGTCTGGTGCGAGAACGAGCGACCTTGCGACAATTATAGATACAAAGGTATCAACCGCAACAGATCTGTTGCTGCGCTGGATTGGTGCCTGGTGTCAACGTCCACAAGAGAAATTTTCCTGGAAGGATTGGCAGAGCCATCGGAGTGTCAACGGGAGGCCGTACTCAGCGACAAGCTCTTAACAGGAGGATATGTGCCAGCATCTCAACCGTCATCAGCGATCGTGCGGATTCAAAGGGACCGTGGATGCAAAGTCAAACTCGACGTTTGCATGCTTGGAGACGGTGGCATGCGTGGCTGAGCTGTGTCACTCTGGGTGGAACTTGAAACAAGCTTTCTGGGTCTAACGATAAAAGGGCTAGCGTAGCACGAGCCAAAATCAACGTTGCGCCTCGGGCCAGCTCTCCACTGCGGAGGTTGAACCACCAAATCCAGACGCCACTGCAGGCACAGAGGAGCTCGCATTACTACAGAATCCGCACACTTCCTCGAGAATTGAAATCGGCCACGTCAATGCGGATGTTTTGGAAGCAACAGATTTGTATCTGAAGTTTGCTGTCTCCAAGCTTTGGAGTGGCCGAGATTCCGATATTCAACGGTTCTGCTGCCTGTTTCCTTCTTGTCTCCTCAAGGTCACCTATCGGGTTCCGGTTTACTTGTAGCATCCGGGACCCCGCCTCATCGAATATCGCTCCCTTGCTCTCTCGAGTAAACGAAGCAGTGGGGCGACTTGATCTCTATGAAAATCGATGAAAAGCACTGCATCAGTTGCAAGCGTACCCCTACTTTTATGGCTCTCGTGTCAGCAGATGCTAAAGTTCTAGGGTTCACCATTGTACCGGCATAAGAATTGGCGATTGGGACAAGTTGCGGTGTCATAGCTTTCCCAGTTTCTCGCAACAGAACCTCAAGAAGCTCTTGCAATGGCAACGCCGAATGGGTAGCCAAGGCCTGCGAAACCATGGTACAGATTGCAACTTCCATGTTTGCAGCGCTTCCGATAGCAACTGCTTGAGAGAGTAATCCCGGTCCCGGTCTTGGTCTTACTTTGCAGCCGTAGGGACATCCTCGAATATCCTGTCATCTCTGTCCCAACTCTTTCGGTGGCTACTCCCATCTTCCTTCATCATGGATCTGGTCATGGTAACACAAACGATTGATGGCGAGTCAGTGCAGACGCCTATGACTCCCTATCAGCTCCTGCGTGCCCAGCAAGCAAGAGAAGAGCAAGCAAGAGTGGCCGCTTTGGCCAAGATGAATCCCCCACGGAGCGATGCCGCAAAGTCCATACCCTTGGGCGTTATGTCGCGAACACTCCTTTCCAGCTCCTACATCAAGATGATGCTCCCAGCCAAGATTCGTCACAAGAACCTAAATGATGTTGTTTTTGTTGGGGAGGACTTCGTCCACTTGAAGCAAGCAACTGCCAATGGGACCCTTCGCCATATCGCCACCAAATCGGATTTTGGAGGCAAGATACTAGCCGCCAGAGTGTTTGGCAGCCCACAAAAGACTCACCAGAATGCGCATGCCGGGACCCCCATCAAGAGGAAGGATGTCCGTGCCCATCGCAGGTCTACCGCCGGCGAAGACTCAGAACAACTTCCACCAGAGATGTTGGTCCTGACGCTTGACACGAAATCACTGATATTTCTATGGGCGTGTCCAACGTCCAATGGGCATATCAAGTTCCACCACAGAACATTGCGACTCCCCGGCGGAAAATCACGCATTGAACGACCCGGCCCTTTCCTCGCGGTGGCTCCGAATTTTCGAGCGATAGCGATCGCGGCCCTAGAAGGACAGTTTGTATTTTGCAAGACGCAAACATTGGTTGCATGGCGAGAACACATGCGTGAATATGTGGACGCGAACTCGACTCCGGTGGCGGAGGAAATCACTATCCCTACCAATGGACGTATTATCCATATGGATTTCCTCGCACCCAGCGCTGAACAAGAGGACCCGCATGTCATTGCCATCCTTGTAATAGCGCATTCTGGGAGGACGAAAATAACCTGTTACGATTGGGTCGCCGATCACGAACCAAGCAGCCCAACGCTCCGTGCCGAGCGAGTAAATATTGATACTGGTCAGTTGTCTGTTTCCAAAATTGCGGCCATTAGACTAAAACCAATGCAGAGGACAACAATCCATCCTTACTTGTACCTCTCAGACGCAGCCCGGCTTTCCTTCTGGTTTTCAATGGGCACATATCGGCCTATGGAAACATATTATCTGGAACGAGCCAGTGTTACCGGACTCAGATTCCACCAGAGATGCTTGCGCCTGTTCTCCCAGGGGACAGCAATAGCAGCCCGATCTGGGTACAATGGGAGAGCGCCGAACGTAATAACGAATATCCCAAGGAAGCTTTTTATATCGCCCGGGAGGATGGCAAGGTTCTGTACGTTGAGGTTGGGCGGTCGATGACACTGGAAATATCTGATGCGGGGTCATTGCCGCAAACGATAGATAGGGCGTTCGCAAGCCTACAAGTGGACTCGGACACTTTGAACAGACTACAACCTGATATATTCGCCGCCCCAGGGGTCTCAAGCGATGGCTATGTCTCAAAGCTTGGATCGTGGGTCTCGGGAGGCGTCAACCTACCTCATGAAGCAAGTTATAGCTTCGAAACCCTTGAGAAGATACCCAACTGGGCACCTACAATGGACCTGACAACGATGCCAACGAGACGAACCATGTCTTTGCCGCGCACTATGTGGTCGCAATCTTCAGCATCGGCAAACCCCTCGGCGTCCACAGAATCCACGTCGCGGCGTAGTATACTCCTCGGCCACGGTAGGGCACCGTACGGTTCCATTACGGAGGTTCGGCGAGGTATCGAAGCAAAGATCGACACACACTGTCAAGGGATGAAAGGCTGCAACGGGTTGTGGATCATCGATCATGGGTCCGAAGAAACCTTGGTAGAAGAGGAATCCGTGGTGCAGCAGTACGCCTCCATCCTGTGCAGTTTTCCGCACGAAAGTCTGGCCCTTCGCGTTACATATTTGGACGGAGTCTACAGCATTCAAGATATCGCCAATGAGAACGAGATTGATGCAGACGGCCTATCACGACATGAAACGCTACATTTAAGCATAATCTCTGATTTGTTCATGGTACAGGTAATCCATGGAGAAGCGAGAGTAATCAGCCGCGCTGGTTTGGTGTTGCTTGATCGTCTCGCCCTTGATGGTGCTGCTCTGGTCGCGGCTGCTCATCCCCAGCTACGTCAGTTGGCCATCGCGTATAGGGGCACTGAATCTTTTGCTCTGGAAACCGTCGAGCTACTCGAAGCAGGGAAGTTTGGAGTGAGACACCGCTATGGACTTCCATCTGACCCGACCTGTGTTGAGGTCCTGGACGTTGAAGGAGTGCCGCATGTGTTGGTCGGCACTACGGATTCCTCCATACGTATGATCAGAATCTCACAAACAGGCTTAGAACCAGTTCTTCATTGCGACTTGAATAGATTGCAAGGGCCACAATACATAGCCGCTGTTTGCGAGAGTGCTGTTATGCTTCGTTACTCGGAGAAGCATGTCTTACTCTGCGGTCTCCGCGATGGGTCACTGGCAAGTTTCGCCCTCCGAACACAGACAGCTGGTAAGTTTGTTTCCGGATTGTCGCAGTTCGGATACTAAATGAAGCAGAGCTCAGCATCGATCTCATGAACCGTATTACTCTGGGAACCTCTTCGGTCCGGTTATGGCCCTGTATAACCAACCCCTCTGTCGCCTTTGCCTCTTGTGGGGCAGACTTCGTCCAAGTACATCACAGAACCCCGAACTCCTCTCTCCCTATTATCGACTCCATTTGGTTCACCGACATAAATAATGAATGTTATCAGCAGCAGGAAATAATGGCTTTTGGTCAGCTTCCGCTGCGCTGGCAGCAAGATGATGCAGATCAGGATCTTGCCAGCCTTATCTTCACTGTTTCTGGCGACAACTTGCTTTTGTCCCGCATCGAGTGCGAGACAGGATACAAAGTACCGCTGCCACAGGGGCCTCAAGCAGTTCCGAGAAAATGGACGATTGGTGCCACACCTTCCACAGTGACTTTCTCCGAGCGCTTGCAGCGTATTCTTGTCTCCGTTTCCGAGCCGCGAGAGGTTCAAGTGCCTCCCGACGGGTATCGCACCATCAACACGGGATTACAGGTCGTTAAACTCGACGATGAAGGAGGTGCGACTGAGGATATAGGCGACCTTACGCCTCGACTTGAAACCCTCGTCTCCGAAGAAGGCAGTCTGCGGCCTTATGAGCGGATCTGCTCCATTGTAGAATGGATTGCGAAAAATAAAATGGGCCATCCTTATCACCACGTTGTCGTTGGCACAGCTCATCAGGAATACGGCAAGCCAGTACGCGGGCGTATAATGCACTACCAGATTGTGCAGAACAAACTGGTACGGAAACGAAGGACTTCATGGTACCCTGGCGCGATTCGGTCAATATCACTGTTCAGTCCGAACGTTTTCATCTATGGCTATGGCAAGATCGTCGTAGTGGACGAATACTCCATAGCAGAAAATGAGTAAGCTCGCTTGTATGATATAGCCTCAAAGAACTAGAACTAAAATCATACGCAGTTTCATTCGGCTCGCCGAGTCAACCTTAAAATCGGACGTCGTGTCCATCAGCTGTCAACCTCCCTGGGTCTACGTCTCGACAGCCGCACACTCCTTATCTTGTTACGAGTTTAAGGAACTATCTTCCAATGTGGCAACCTTAAGCGGCCGAGACGGGATACTCATTCCAGTGTATACCGAAAGCCGTACCCGGCTCTTGACGCATCACACTCATATTGCAAATGCAATTCCCGACAACGAGATAACCTCGTTGCATGAGTCCACATCTGAGGCTATCGATAATACAAGAGGAAAAGAAGCAGAGGACCACAGTGACGAAACCGTGGAAACGCGGTCCAACCAAGGCCGCACCCTCATCCTGCTAGCAGACAAGGTCTGCACAGTAAGCGGCGTCCTCCATCCGGCCTTTCGCAGTTACCCTTCAGAAGAGGACTATGGACAACGGATTCCCGCTTTGTTTGAAGCCCATCTCTCACGATCAGTGATCCGCCTTCAACAAGACGCATTCCGGACGCCGTGGGCCCGACCCTCAACCGGTCCCGCAAAGGGCGTCCTCATCGACGACGTCGTCGGCGTCTGCACAGACGGTACCATATACAACTTCAGCATCTTGAGCGCCGAGGCTACGCTCCTACTTCGCTACATCCAGAACTTGATTCGTGCCCAGGAACACCGCTGCATGACGAAGAGGTCGCGCCCCAGAGAGTCCGATCTCAAGAGAAGAGTCCTGTTCATGGGAGGCTTTCTGCCGAAGCAGGGTTCTGGATCTAATCCGGCGGGTGATGATGACAATATCATCACGCCTTTGATGATTGATCCCTTGGAAGGACTGCCGGCGCCGAAGAAGTGGCATGTTGATGCGGATGTTTTGGTGAGGTATTTGGATGGGGATATCAATTATGTGCCTTTTGATGAGGAGAATGCGCTTTTCGTGCTGCTGACTACGGAGACTTCGGAGGGAGTGTGGAGGCAGTTTAGCGAGTTGGCGGGGTTTCTGCGCCTTGCTGGGGAGGAAGGACGAAGGGGTCCTGAGGGTTTGGTTGGAGGAGGGGAGGAGGATAGGAGACGGTTTGCGAGGAGCGTGCAGGATTGGGTCAGGGATGTTACTAGGGAGATGCTGTGAGGGGTGTGCGGTATTGATAGGGTGCCGATTCGTTAGCGGGGGTATGCGGATTGTCCATTACTAGGGGTAGGAAGTATCAAGATCGTTACGGGTTTGCGTATTTGTTTCCGGGTGTTTCATAGTATGTTTCATGGTAGGAGAGGGGAATAGGCGTAAAGGTTTCTCTCAGCCGTAGAGGCGGAGTTCTAGCATCGTTGAATCGTTTAGCTGGATTCGTCTTCGCTTCGTGACGGTTTCGCTCACGGTTCCTGGGCCTTTGCTTGCTCGTCGTCTTATCACTGGCGCTCCCTTTGGTAACCACCTGCACCAGTTCCTTGGGGGTTTCCGTCCACTCTCCGCACGAATTTATGATCTATCGCTTGCGGACTATCCCTTATCTATCATCTCACGGTCCAGTAGTGGCCCGTTGAATCCATCCATTGTACACTGTTGCCTATCAATGGTATGGATGAGTTGGACATGCATTTGACGGGAAGTTTTGAGCCGGAAGGATTGGTTGGCAGAGCAGGAAGGAGATATTCACGGTTTGAACTTGCTGTAATCGTACTAATACGGGCGTTTGGCTTTCATGTCCGTTGATTTTGAGTTCTTGATGTATTCGTGACTTTATACATATCACCACTTTCTGCCATCCATTTTGAAACATTCATTCGAACCCCGCATATAGATAACTCCTGGTCAAAACCCGGGACTTCTTGGCCTACATGATCCTAGCCTACCTATGGAGCCGCACTTCATTCGCACTGTCTACTTTTTTCCTGACAGTCGCCGCAGTTTGTCCGGCTGCAGTCGATTCTCGTCAACATCACTGCCGCTAGAATCGTCCCTGCCACTGGAAGAAAAAATATGCCTTCTCGACCTCTCCCTCTCTACTCGACACACGCCGCGCTCCATCCTGTTTCAGGCGGTTCTCATCTCCACCACCTTCACCACCACCAAAACTTCCCCCCAACGTCCCTCTCAACGAAGCACACCACATACATCCTAACCACCCCCTCCCCGTTTTGACCCATTTGGGATATCAGAGATATCAACCATATCGCATACAACACACGTCAGACACGGGAGCAGGCGGATAGCTAGCTAGCAATACGAATATCCTCAAAAACCACAACACGCAGGAAGATAGAGAGCCTTGGAAATGTCCACTGGGGACATTTATTTACCGTTACTCCGTATACTATATCCTCCATTCGTAACCTTCACTGACTACCCTAACCCTCGAGCGGCCCCACCCTGACCTCCGCAGCCAACCTCCTCCTAACCTCCTCCTCCCTCCTCCTCACCCTCTCCGCCCCCCTCCGCTCCCTACTCCCCCTCTCCCACCTCCCCCTCGCCCCATGCTTAAACCGGGTAATCATATCCGCCGCCTTTCCCTTGGTCAACACTCCCCCGGCAATCCCTTTCCCCTTGCCATCCTTTCCGTCTTTTCCCAAATCCAACTTATTCAAAAACTCGACCTGCGCCGCACTAGCCGGCCGCTTCCGCCACGCCGCCCGGCTCGAGATCCACATGTGCTCAAATACCTCGGCCGCGAACGTGTCGGCCGCGTGCACTATGTGCTCGAACGAGTCGGCCGACGCGACGACGCGGGGCGTGGCGTAGGGGGACTTGGAGCGCGAGGCCGCGCTGGGGGGCAGTTTGCGGTAGTATTTTGCGGTGAAGGATTGGGTGGGCGGGATGCCCATGTCCACATCGATGTCCTGATCGGAGCGGAGGGAAGCGGCGGTAGTAGATTGGGACGGAGAGGCTGCCGGCTCGATGACGAGGTAGTTCCCCGAGTTGGTCGTGAGGACGAATTTGGCGTCCCCGACGGCCACCCACGCGTACTTGCTGAGCGAGCGGATATACCGGTCCGAGGTGCTGTCGGCGAGGAGGTCGTGCACCGAGTCGTAGTCGGTGAAGGTGATGGGCCCGACGATGTTGCCCCTGAATGCCGTCCTTTCGACGTCCTTCTCAGCCTGTGCGACGTTCTCTTCGCCTTGCTTTTCGCGTTCCTTGCGCTCCTTGAGTTTCTGCATGGCGTCCGTGTCGGCCTCTTCGACGATTTCGCCAGGATCAAGGCCGAAGAGAGTCGGGGTCGACACGACGCCGGTGCTTAGGGCCGCGACGAGGTCGATGATGTGGCAGTTTTCCTTTCCCTTGTGGAGCCGCATACCGCGGCCGATCATTTGGACAAGGAGGTTGCGCGACTTCGTCGGCCGGGCGAGCAACACGCAGTCGATGTTAGGGATATCGGTTCCCTCGGTGAAAACGCCACAGTTGAGCAGCACGGGGAACTCTCCGTTGCGGAAGGCATCGACTCTGGCGCTGCGGAGCTTCTTGGGCGTATCGCCCGTGACGAATTCGGCTGCGATGCCGAATTGGCGGAACTTTGCCGTTAGGCTGGTGACGTGGTTCAGGTCCACGCAGAAGACGAGGGTGGATTTGCGATCCTTGGCGCGGGCCAGCCAGGCTTTGACGACGAGTTCGTTGGTTTCGTCCGTGTTGATTGCGTTGGAGAGCGCGGCCGTTTGGAAGTCCCCGTTGGCGCCGGCGCGGACTTTAGTGAGATCTGCTTGTGTCTGGACGGTGGTGAAGATGACGTCGGAGAGCCAGTTCTCCTCAATCATGTCGATATAATCACTGGAGGGTGTCAGAAGTCTGGACCGTCCTCATTTCCTAGGGCCACGAACCGGTGATAGACGATATGGTCAATCACTGCGCCTAATCTTCTGCCGTCAAACCGAGAGAACGTGGCGGACACACCAACAAGAGCAGGTGCTGAGACCTGGGTCCAATCGTTCTCATGCCTGAGCCCAAAATGCTCCAACAGTTCCAAGTACTGCGAGCTGACGATGTGGTGTGCCTCATCCACAAGGACCAGCTTGTACCTCAACGGGTCAAACTTGGTCAGTCTATCGCCAGACATGATACTCTGTATCGACGCCACCGTGATATCTGCTGCCCCAGACGCATGATGATTCCCCATCTCAATATCCACATGTTTATCTGGGTACGCTAGGGTACAATGCCGCGCAGCTTGCTCGACCAGTTCACGCCGGTGGGCTAGGATGAGTGTCTGCGAGGCTTCCTCGACGGACGGTACACGGTCGATTAGATGCGTGAAGATAACAGTCTTCCCGCTCCCAGTCGCCAAAGACACCCCTAGTCTCTTGTGACCCTTCTCCAGGTACGATAGCACCGATTGTATGCATTCTTCCTGGTACTCGCGCAGTGTAACTTGAAGCGGCGAAGCTGAGGGTAGGGCTGGGTCCGGCGGCGGAACGATGACCGGAGTGGCCGCCGTCGAAGCCGTTCGGACTGCAAGACAGACAGGCCTGGTGCCTGCCCGGCTGAAGATTCTCAAGGCATATCGAGAAAATGGTAACATGAAGCTTGCGAACTGGATCGCAGGATATACGTCGCGTCGCGTCCGAATAAGGTTGAAGTTGGCGTCGGGGCTAGCGCCGCAAGTGCGGGCTTGGCAGGGCTCCGCGCCTCGAGGCTTTTTTCTGGAGCTTCTTCACACCCAGCAATCAGAGGTGCTCACGCTTCACCATGACCTCGTCCGGTTCACCAGGATCTGGAGGTAGTCCCGCAACTCCCACAGGAGCACTAGACCATTACAAATGCGGGGAACGCCATCATGAGCGGCACAGAATCAGACTATCAGCCAGTTGAGCAATCGCAGGAGTCCTCTTTTGATGAAGAAAGGTCTCGCAAGAGCTCAAGAGCTCCCTCTATCGCATCACGGTCAAGTCGTAAGCGGCGGCGCTCTCGGTCCAGCTCTCTCGAGACGATTCCGGACGTGAGGTACGAATTACAAGGCCATTACAAGGATGCATACCGGACACTGTATAACGAGGATGTGAAAGACGCCGCCATTCGATTCAGATCAGATGCTTCCTTCCATCCTCCAAGAGCTCAGATTGGCGTATCAACCTGGTCCGTCGAGGAGAAGTCCACTTTCTTTGCTGCGCTGGAGAGGCTGGGCAAGGATGACATACCCGGAATCGCGACTGCGGTGAAGACCAAGTCGATTCCAGAAGTACGCCAATTCTTGCTTCTTCTCCAGGATACGTCAACGCAGCAGGGGAGTCTCATGGTGACACTTAGAGATGTTCCTCCTGCTTCGGAGATCAGTCCTGAATGTAGTGAGCATCTGGAGTTGGCTGCTGATGCTCTTGCCTGGTATCAGGAGAGGTTCGAAGCAAAGAAGGAGCAAGAACGCTTCGGAAACCTTTGGCTCATCACGCCCGAAATCGCGGAGGAGATTGAAGCTGCTATTCCTTCGTCAAGGAGGCCTTCTCTGTCATCCTCCGAACCTCCAGAGGCAGCGGGCCAGGCAGATGCAGGCTCTGTACAGGCCCCTCAGCCAACCTCGCAAATATTACAAGATATACCGGAAGCCAACCTCCTTAACACCTCCAACCTACTACAGCTGTCCACAGAGGTCTTCATGAACGGCTCTGCGAGCCCACCTTCGTGGTACCCGCATTGGACAACTTTGAGATCGCCATTGGCTTCCAGACCCTCAATATATCGGACCGCCTTGATCGATTTCCATACCCTAGTGCTTTCGCTCACTAAACGTCTGGTGCAGGCGAGCATAGTCCAGGCAACTTCTAGGATAAGAACCCAAGGCTGGCGTGTCAAGAAGGGAGTTACCTCTCTGGTGAAAAAACGGGACGCCTTGACTGCAATCGACATGCTCCGACTGCCAAGAAATTCTCAAGAAAGATGGAGGCGCGTGGCAAGACGCTGTGGTCTTCGCGTTTTTGAAGGATCGGGGAAGCAGAGGCGTGAAATGAGTTGGAATGAAGTCGAGGAGGCGCTGGAAACACTTCCGCCATTATCAGAAGACACCACTCCGGTGGGCGACACGCCCAGTCCTACTTCCGGAGTTGAGAATACGACTTTCAGGGCAAGAGCAATGCGTAGTGGAACACCGCTTCCGTTCCGAGATATAAGTTCTGTTGGTTCAGATCATTCAGAGGGCGACGAAACTATGCACGCGCCCGAGGAGAACGACGGTTCTGATAATGAATCACCCGTTTCCTCACCAGTATCATCTGTTGGCGTACCTAGCCGGTCTCCAAGCCCAACAGAGGGGTCAGAACACGATGCCTTGGAAGCTATGGACGCGAGTATAGCCCAAGCGGAAGAATCACGTCTTTGGATTGTGCTCAACGGTGCCTCGCCGGACACGGTCGAAAATGTGCTCAAAACTGAGGGAACAGAAGAAACAAAACTGACTCAGCGGGGAAATGTTGGGATTAAAGAGGATGACTGGCGTGCTTACATTGAGTATCGTGCTGAATGGGAAGAATTTGAGCAGCCCGTTCCTCGCGCAATGTTCGAGGAGAACCGCAAGACTCCTTCTCCTGGGCCCTTACCGTCTGCAGAGCAGGAAATCGAGTCAGTTCCCTCAAATGACGAAGGCGGTAGCAACCGGCGATTAAGAAAGCGGAGGAAGGTGGTTGGGACCGATATGCCCCTCCGGGGAGCTCGCACTTATGCGGTGACACACGACCCAGGCACTGGACATGAAGATGGGCAGTTGGGCCGCGAGGGATACGCAAATGACAATGCGGAATGGCTTGCACCCTCAATCGAAGGTGGAGATGCTGGTTTGTCAAGAGCTCGGTCAATATCACCCGATGATATGGATATGGATGCAAAGCCAGCAATGTATCCTTAAGTTACAAACGCCTCAATGAGAGTGCCATTGGCGACACTACTGGCATTCTTCTTTCTTTTGACAGTTTCCTTGGGTTTCTGTGTTCGCCTCTAATCCTTCTTGTACCTGGAATAAGATCTGTAGGATGGTAGTTTCATCCGCGTCGACTGACCTTCCTAATGTGGTAACCAGCTCCTTTGAAAGCTAACGAAGCATTTACTCGTGCCGCGCGCCAATCTTCCGTACGCGATACCGGCTCTACGTTTGCCGAGCCTTCAGCTTGGGAGTGTTCACCGGCAATCGTATATTGAGTGAGGGGCTATCAGGAACGACCTCGCTTCACTAACTCAGAGGGGAAGTTCAGTAGACATCCATGTCGATTCCGTCAATGGCTCCTCTCCCGTCATCGCTTGGCTACATAACCGGAGAATGCGAAGAATTCGACATATCTATCATGTCTAACCTCCTTATAGAAAATCGAATAGCTGGGTCCGCATTATGCCTTCCGTAAAGCTATACTTCACTGCGCTGTTGACCGCAGTCCGCGCCGGTGAATTCGTCCTGCCTCGAGCTGTAATACCACCTCCAGTTGCCGCCAATGCAAGCATATATACGGACTGCGCAAATGCAGCATGGCCACCGTCGGGAGTGGGAAAGGAATTAGTGCCCCAGGCCCCTTCGGAAGAGCTCAAGGAAATGCTCAAAGAGATCGATCCCGCAAACATCGAAGCATACATCAAAAAGCTGGTGTCTTTTGGCACAAGGCATACGCTCTCGATCCAGAACAGCACTACACGAGGCATTGGAGCAGCACGGGACTGGATATACTCCGAATTCAGCAAATTCGCGGACAAGTCGGAGGGACGCATGACAGCGTCTATTCAGAGTTACACTCAAGGTGTAGCTTCACGAATCCCCTTCCCAGTCAAGATCTCCAATGTGCTTGCTACAATCAAGGGCTCGACATCCCCGGACAGAGTATACGTAATATCTGGTCACTATGACAGCCGCGTCACCGATGTACTGGACTACACTTCCGATGCCCCCGGCGCCAATGACGATGCATCTGGCACCGCGCGTGCGTATCTCCCTCCCAAAATATCCACTCTCCATATCTAACACCAGTACCAGTGGTAATGGAACTCGCCCGCATCCTAGCAACCCGCCAACCCGCCTCAACCATCATCCTCGCCGCCGTATCCGGCGAAGAGCAAAACCTCTACGGCTCCACCTTCCTCGCCCAGACCCTCAAGAACGCCAGCACAAACGTCGAAGCCATGCTAAACAACGACATCGTCGGCTCCTCGACGGGTGACCGCGGCCAACGCGACCCCTTCACCGTCCGAGTCTTCGCGCAAGGCCCGCCCCCCTCGGAATCCGCCGCCACGGCCGCGAGAAGACTACAGATTGGCGGCGAGAACGACAGTCCCGCACGGAACCTGGCGCGCCTCTCGGCAGAAGTGGCCGCCAACGATGCAACGGGCATGGGAATCGCAATCGTCTACCGTCTGGACCGCTTCCTGCGCGGCGGGGACCATACGCCTTTTCTCCAGGCGGGCTACCCTGCTGTGCGGTACACGGAGCCCAACGAGGACTTTGCGCACCAGCATCAGGATGTGCGGACCGAGAATGGGACCGTGTATGGCGATCTCATCGAGTTTGTCGACGTTGAGTACACGGCTCGCGTGGCGAGGGTGAATCTCGCAACGTTGTGGAGTTTGAGCCAGGCGCCGGGGATGCCGCGGAATGTTACTATCGATACGTCGGTGCTGGATAATGATACGAGGTTGAGGTGGAGGGTGAGTGAGGAGGCGGAGGGGTATGAGGTTGTGTGGCGGGCGACGACCGCTCCGTTGTGGACGAATGTGCTGGAGGTGGGAAAGGTTGGTGAGGTGCGGGTGCCGTTGAGTAAGGACAATGTGATTTTTGGAGTGAGGGCCGTGGGGAAGAATGGGTATAGAAGTCCAGCGGTGTTTCCTTTCCCGCCGCCTTCGTGATGAGCGTGGGAAAAAGATGATGCAAATAAGGGAACTAGTCACATCCGGTCTCCATCTAGCGTCTCATGAACGTGGGAATGGCATCATCTAATCGAAGAACTTGTGATTGGATTCCATCCGCCTATAAGTACAAAGCTGAAGCCAGAGTGACCCTTGAAGCAACCCAGCGCCCGCGAGCATGAGCTGGTTCGCACAAGACCATCCCAAGTTTCATTCCACCGCAGCCCAAAATTTTCTAGAAGAAGATCTAGAACACAACCCACCATAACCGCGTATCCATCTATGTTGTACAAGATTAGTGTTCAATGAGTGTTCTTTTTTGGGAGTTGCAGCCTAGATAGCTCACCGTTGGCCGCAACAGTTTTTTATCGCTCCGAGCTGCAACAAGCTGAAGGATGCTGCACGTTGCGGAGGCTTTAAAGCGTTGTTAACAAGCAGAGCGAAGGTCGCACGGAAATCGTAAGAAGACTGAGACTGGTCGAAGAAAGCAGAGTCGCAACTGAAGTCGTAAAGAAAACCGGAAAGACCATCGAAAAGGTTGACCTGAAACTGAAAGGTTGACGCAAGAAAAGTCGGCGAGGATCTGCAGAAGCCGGAAGTGAATTAAAGGAGGTCGACCGTAAATGAAGAGAGACACGGAAAAACACCGCATGGCGTCGGATTTGAGGCAAGAAAATGGTACGTCGTAGCCACTGGAACGAATCGTAAGTCGTGACTTTAGAGCTGCATTCGGCGTCCACGGCGTTAGTCGTAAGTTCGTGCTTGTCCAAGAGTCAAACCATTGTACCAACGACTGAGCTGCTGTAGTGCTCAAGAATGCTCAAAGAGCGCAGTTTCCTGATCATCACCACCGTCATCGTGGGTGGCTTGAGTAAACATGGGCTCGTGATCGTCAGCGATCTCGTTCAGGCGAGTTTGGCGTTGATCTCCGGAAGACATATATGGAGCTTCCTCATTAGCTTGACGCACACTGAGCTCTTTGCCGAGAAGATGTGTGTTGCCCTCCTCAAGAGCTTTAGCGACCTCATGGATGTTGGACATGAGGCAGGATCTCTGGTTCTCCTCGCACCACATGACACAGCGCGTGAAGATGCCATATTGGGGGTATTCGCTCTCCACATCGAGCTCAGCATGCTTCTTCAGTCCTTTGAGAAGCTCCAGGACATCGATATCAACAGGCTCCTCACACTCGTCTTCACCGATGTACATAAGACGGGTGGCCTCGACATCATCCATATTGCTGAACATCTCGCGCCTGCTCGTGTCCCATTCCGCTCCCCACTTCTCAACCCCTCGCTTCTGTGCTGTGGTGCATTTCACAGAGCAAGTATTACGCAGATACGGAGGTTCGATGTCACGGTGCGCATTGAGCGTCTCCACAATCTTGGACGGGCCCCAACCGCGTGCGTATAGTCGAATAGAGACGATGGGGCGAGAGAGCGAATTGAAGAAGTAGCTATGTTGATCAGTGTATTTCATGTGGGTGGCGGGGGCTCACTTACACAACGATCTCCTTGTCAGTAAGCGGGACACGCGGAACGAAAGTCATTGGCGGCGGCAGCATGGAAGTTCCATTGTGGACCTTGCGTTTCTGAAGCATGCCATGCCCCGGCTTAACGCCATTCTTTCCGTATTTGGAATTTGGCGTTTTGCTTGGCGATCCGGTGGCCGCTTTATTGTTCGGTGTATTCTGAGAGGAGCCAGACGGCCCAGCTGGGGAGTGTGGAGGTGGTGTATGGACGCTGCGTAGGAGTACGTTGTTCTCAACAGGCGTGTAATCGCGCACATACTGGTCATGATTGAGGATCCCTTCCTCCTCACTTCCGAAGGTGAGTCCGTCCTCCGAGAAATTTGGGGTTGGCGAGCGCCTATGTTCACGTCCTGGGACTTCAATCCCGTTTTGAGAGAGCGCGCGTCGAATTAAGTCATCCTGCTCCGCTACAGCTTGGATACGTTCGATGATGACCTCCTGGCGTTGAACGCGTCCTTCAAGAGCTCTCATACTCCTGAGCATATCAACGTTCATTTTGACCAGCTCCGCAATGCTGGTGCTATGTCGCAGAACTGTCACATGGGCGTTAGTGGACTAAACTGCGGCCGAATCCAAGCAAAGCCACTTACTCTCTCGGTTATGCAAGTCGGTTGAGTTTTTGAGTGCTTGAACCTCAAATTTCAAATTGCCGGTCTCATACGCCACTCCCCCCGAGGTGTATGGTGTAGGTGGCATCTCACCTGGCTAAGCGTTAGTGACATCTCAAACCGATATGACGGTTCAGCCATGTAACGCGCCGCGCTCAAGTAGTGGTCGAGTGTTTGGTTAGACATACCTAGGGTATTCGGCATGAACATCATATTCATAAGAGGATTGAAACCCATGCCAGCATTCCCAGTATTAAAGCCGTTGTTGAAGTCCATCTTTGATCCAACGCTGGGATCAGCGGTGGAGCTGCGGGATTTGGGTTTAGCAAGAAGCTGCTCGAGTTTGGCCGAAAGGTCGCGGCGCCGTATCGCGAGTCTTGTTGCTATGTAAACAAAAACATTAGCGCGACTGCTCAGAAACTGGACGACAGCATGCACACAAGACACGTTGCTGACTAAGAAAAGGGTAGCGTACGGTGGCTGGCACTACTCTTGCAAACGCCGTTTGCTTGAGACCACGCATGCCGCCGTGGAGAGCTGCCTAGATACTCTCTCCCGACGGCGATGTCTAACGGAGGTAGCTTCGTACGCTGAAGGGCTTGTGGCGGGCCCTCTTCCGCAATGTGCGCCGGCTCAACGCGGGCCTCCACGGAGTCCTCCGGCGCGTTGCCCGCAGATTTACTACCCGAGTCGGCACATGGGTTCACGGGGTCCTCCTGTGGAGGCCCCTCATTGTTACGAGCATACTCCGGCATGCTGCGGATAGCTATATATGTTCGGCCGCTAATATGGTACTTGGTAAGGCGGGCCGGTGAGTGGTTGGTGGGCCAGTAAGATTTTGGAGTGTTGAACAGGCTTTTTAAAGTCACTGGTGCACCGGAGCCAAGACACCTGCCCGGGGAAAAGGTGAAGCTCCGAGCATGAGTGAATGGTGAATGTGAGTTTCTTGCTTCACCGAACGTCTCTTCCTGCCCGTGACACGGACCGTAGAAAGGCTTAGGATTATCGTACACTCCGATCGATGGTCAGTGTAGAAGACGGTTCGTCGGGGAGAGCGAATGCCGGGTGTGGAGCATCTCACATTGCCGTGGGCCAACCTCGTCGCCAGCGCCGCTGCTTTGCAATGATAATTCGTCATTGTGGTGACTGGAGCATTTATCAGTATGTGCCGCGCGCGGTAAAGCGAAGTGAGGAAGGACAAATTGCGTTAAATACGACCTGCAGTCGCCTACATTCTCTTGAACAATTGGCGAGAAGCATTCTCAGCTTCTTGATTCCGCAGTCCGGAAGACCCCGTAAGCAAGTGAATGAAGATAGGGAAATGCTTGGAATGAATAGAACCCAGAAATCTCGGAGAATGAATCAAGGACATTGAAAGATAGTGACTCTCCGCGAGGCGGGAAAGAGAACAGACGAGGCGATCATAGCAGAGGGAGACGACAAACGTGACGGTAACTGATTCACCCGTCACCGCGGAGGCCGCCGTGAATGTTGGAAAACTGGTAGAATCAAACTGCGGATGCGGCTGGCAGCGAGAAATGGTGCAAGAAAGGACCTCTTCGGAGATGAAAACTCGCATTATTATATGTCAAATGGCCTTCATGATGAAATGCAATTGCCCTTCACTGGTAAAATCAGGTGGGGAAGTTGAGAGTGAGAGAGTGGACAAGAGATGTCGTCGATCTAAAGTTATCAGGCGTCAAGCCAATAAACCAATCAGAAGAGACTCCTGCCTTAGTAAGCAAACTACCTTTCACCGCAATTGTACACGCACGCAGCATCCAACAGCTTCAGATGCATTCACGGGCATGGTAAACGAAACAGTTGGTATTTGGCGGTCCGATGAGATTTGCCACAATGACTGAATAGTCCTTGGATAAGTCGTCTGGTGCTGTGGAACCGGTGTTCACACGATAGAATACCGCCTCGAATTCAAACCCACATCGTTGGCTACTCTCCGATGTTCAGAGTCCCGAGACTCAAAACATCAGACGTGTCCCATTTTGGTTCTTCTGCAACGAGTTGGCATTTAGAAATCATGTCTCTAAACATTTTGATTTGGGTTGGAGTTAGCCATAAAACAGCTCGGCTTCCGAGTTACCGAGGCTCGCGTCATAGCTTCCCCAGATTGTACATAGTATGTAGTACCGGTCAGTATATCTCCAGCTCAGTTCCTCTCCAGCAGCCACGCTCACCTCCACCCCGTCTCATCATACCACCATTCCAATGCCCACACAAGTCCTGATTGTCGGCGCCGGCGCCATTGGCGCTTTCTATGCCTCCCGCCTGGCCTTGGTGCCCAACACGTTCGTGTCGGTCATATGTCGGTCGAACTACCAGGCCGTGAAGGCCAACGGCTTCAGCGTAACATCGCCGCAATACGGCTCTTACACCTTCATTCCTTCGCACACCTTCGCCAGTCCAGAGGAAGCGCGCAGAAGCGGGATAAAATGGGACTACATTGTCGTCAGCACAAAGGCCCTGCCTGACGTCAGCGACGATTCGGCGATACTGGAGGAATTGGTGGACGATGGGACCGCCATCGTGCTGATACAGAATGGTCTCGGGGTCGAGGAGCCGTATCTGAAGCGTTTCCCTCAGGCGTCGATTTGCAGCGCCGTGACTATTGCTAGCTGCGCTCAGCCCAGCCACGGGCATATCAAGCACAATCGCTGGACGAGGATCAACAGCGGGCCTTACCTTCCCCACCTCGATACTGGAGGTTCACAGAGCTCCGATGCGCGCGTAATAGAGCAGAACGACAAGTTCGTGCAGCTGCTCAGAGAAGGCGGCATCAAGGATGCCAGTGCCTACGACCACTCGAAACTGCAGCTGGTGCGATGGCATAAGATCGCCATCAATGCTTCCATGAACCCGTCTTCCGTTCTCGCCGGCTGCGTGTCCAACTACGACATGGCCAACGATCCGGAACTGGCTCGACATCTGAAGGGTGTCATGGAAGAAGTGCTCGACGTCGCGCCCAAGATTCTGGGGAAACCTTTCCCTCCCGAATTCGCAACATCCGACCAGATTCTGCGCAGTACGCAGCGCAATACGAGTGGAAGTAAGCCGAGTATGGCGCTGGACTGGGAACAGGGGAAGACGATGGAGCTGGAAGTGATCCTGGGGAATCCGATTAGGATTGCGAGAGAACGAGGTTATGAGATGCCGCGGCTGCAGACGCTCTATGCGCTACTACGGATGGCCCAGGAGAAGCGCGACAAGAGCAAACAAAGGAGCAAAATATGATATGATATGATCTTCGACTACGGAATACCACTCGTCACATACTCCGTACTCACCGTCTAATCTAGAACTGCACGACCACGGTGATACTCAGAGGGCAGGATCCGATGAAAGGGGGTCCGTGAACTTTCACCACATCATGCTCTGTTTCAAGTTTCAACAAGTTTCAACAAGGTTACCCTCCAATATCGTCAATTTTCCTACAATAGTCCACCCTCGGGGCCGTCTCACTCAACGCCAAGCACGCGGCTCCTATGCGCATGCGCGGATCCAACACCACAAACCTCCCGTCTTACTCATCGCAATGTCCGCGCTATACTCCAACTGCGCGGTTCTTCCCTTTCTCAGCAAATCCCAATTCGTCGCGATCCAGCTTAGTAACAAACGAGCAGTGCAAAGCCACACTGACACCCCCATACTCGTCACGATGGGCTTGGAGACATGGACATCACGGACACCACGGACACCACGGACACATCCTATTGGGCCTTGGCGAGGAGAATCGTGCATGATCCAACATCACTTCGCCGCGCACCTCCGATGTACCCCATATTATGGAGTTCCGCCATACATAGGACTGCCCAAAGGGGCCATTGGTGTGGCCTGGATATCGCACGGGGAGTCTCCAACTTGAAACACGGACATGAAGAGGAAATACCCGGGATGAGTTCGGTTTCTCAAGAGCTTTGAAGGAGACCCCATCCAAATATTCCTGTTGTTTCCATTTCCTTCCTCTCGTTTTAGACGACGCATTTGCGTACCGTCACCACCATCATTCCCTATCTCAATTGCCCTTGTGCAATTGTTTCAACAACCATCATCACTTGCACACACGACCTCGTCCACCGCCCACAATGAAGCACTCGCTCGCCCTCCTAACGCTCGCCTCGATAGCCCTCGGCTCCCCACTCCCTAACTACGGCGCGGACCCCTGTGCCTGCGACTATTCCTGCACGGCGCAAGTCGGTGTGGTATGTAGACGTTCCAATCCCAATCGCAATCTCCACTTCAACCTTTCCATATACCCTCTCGGTCCTTCAAACCCCTACGAGATCGAGCGAAAAGCTTTGAGACTCAATCGCCGACTAACTATTTAAAGGACTGCTCCTGCGAACTCACGGCCAAAAACTTATGCTACGCCAACCAACTCCTGCAAGGTCTCTCCTGCCCGCCTCCGACGCTCTCCCAGCAATGCAACGAGGCGCACAACTTCATCCTCACCAACGGCCCTTGCAATGATCTCACGCAGAACCCATCGAATCTCCCCTGTGGACCTGGACTGACATGCATATTCGCCAATCCTGCCCAAGCCAATGGAGGAGGCACATGTCAGCCCATGAAGATTGGAGCCGGAAACGGTCAACCCAATACCGAAGTCAGCCAGCCCGTGGTGTCGGAGCCGGAAGCCGGGACCGAGGGCGGGGCATGCGGAGCCGTTGCTGGTGGTGGAGAGGGTGCTGGTGCTACAGCGCTGC